TCTCACTTTTGATTCTCACCAGCACTTTGTTGTATCTCACTCAAACCTCAATTGTCACTCGAGATATATTAATTCTATCAATATACATTATAATAAAGGCATGGGACCGGTACTTAGGAACCTAAGTATACCGGTATAATTTGTATGGATTCGAGTATAAGTTACTGGATTTCACCACGTACGGTCCTTCTTTCTTGGGGATGGGAGTGGCACCTTCCTCGTGAAGACGCGGTTTCTGATACTAATGTACCAATGACTATTGAATATCTCCCTTGATCTTCGCTTCTCTTTTCTTCTTTCTCCCTAATTTTCTTATTTCCAACATCATTACTAAAATCTTCAAGGTACGACACCTTCCACGATTAGCAACATTGGAGATCTGTGACAAGTTGATAACAAATACTGATTCTCATCTAGTGCAAAGATAATCACACAAAAGCTTTTCTAACTCCTATCAAAAACCCTCCCACTGCGACCACAAGTGAGATACACCATCTGAACTAAACTAGATTTGAAACGTGAAGCTCACAAAGGACAGTGGCCGAAAATAACCGGCCCATTCCCGTGCCGAATAACCGGCAGTTGGAGAAACTTACCCAACTTCGCGAAGCGAATCAGACTATCCACGCTCGTCGTCGTGTTCTTCGGGGGGCATATCGAATCATGCGACGCGTGGAAGTTACAATCTACTCAAACCAGGACCTTTACTGGACCGACATATCGGTGTTTCTGGATTTGGAGACCAGAATGCTGGAGCTACTGGAGGAAATGGTTTTGCTCGGTCGTGAAGCGATCCAGCACCGTGCCGCCGAGCGAGGACTCTGGAGACACATCGATTGAGTGAGCTAGTGATGAGCTACCGGCGTTGTCAATTCTACGATAATCCTACCATGCAGGGGATCTTATGTTTTTTAATACGGTAAAAATGTGGTCCTGAAAACGTAGTTAGTAATATTGCGGTTTAAAAAGCGTTTCTTTTGATTCTACGGTAGCAACACCGTTATTAGCAGAATACGTGGTAAACTCTAAACCCATGTAGGACCAATTCAACTCCAATATCTACTGATACCCAAAAATGCATTTAATACATAGTGAAGAGGGGCGCGCTCAAGGCAGTATGCTCCCTGGCATACGGGTCAACTCAGCAAGCGTAATCCAAGTTTCATACCTTCCACAGCCTACAAAGAAAACCGGGACAGCCAACCAGGAAGTCAACCAAGAGAAGTGTAGGAGTGTGTATTGTCAATCTGTAAACTACCTGCTACTTGTAACCTCGAAATAACTAATTGCCCTGACTGCTTACCTAGGATCTGCTTGCATAAATAAAAGGAGGCATGGGCGAATAGTAGTGGGGGACCATGCGTGCCCGGCTTATTCCAGCCCCGAATGATCAGCAGCCAGAAGAACTGACCCAGCTACGCCTTCGGACGACTGGGCGGGCCAGGGTTAGGCAAGTAGTGATGCGAGACGCTTATCGGATTATGGCAGGGGTTGCCGCAGATTGTCTCTTAGCTTTTCCAGTAGTGACAACAAGTATTATATGCCCGGCACGTAATGAGAGATCGCATATCGTATGTAGATCTTTGTTGAAGGGCATCCTACCACCTAGCCATCTTAGAATAATCCTAGTTATGACTTTTCAGATCTGATCAAGCAAACCAAAAGATAGCAACTAGTGAGATACACACCTTCCCCCGATGTCCCTTTCGGCAAAACTGTCGAAAAAAAGGCCGACAGGAATCAGTGGCCGAACAACGGCCCATTCCAGTCCCGAATGACGTACAGCTCGAGCAATTGACTTCGTTTCGCTTTCGCGCGACTCGGCGTGCCCAAACCCACCGGCGCGTACGTCGGGAAGCAGTACAAATAATTGCATGACTGCAGGGGATGCACGAGAGGAGCTCGATACTGCACTAATTTGCAGATATCCGTTCTGAATTATTTTGAGCGAAGAATGGCCGAGCTCGTTGAGCACATTGGTGCGCTCTGTCTGGAAGAGCGGTCAGATCGCGCCTTTTAGAGTGAATCTTACCGCTATGTGGTCAAATTTATGCACCGAACAGGTATCCTCCAACAATTTCCACACGTGGGACTCGAGGGAGACGATAAGGGACCGACAGGCCTTATGCCAATGGAGCTAGGTGTGGAAGACGTGGGTGTTAGTCAATGACGAAAACAAAGCTGGGAAACGAGAAGCTCGGCCAAAGTGGACAAACATGCTGGGCAACTGGCCATGGATAATACACTATCAATTGCAACTGGAGTGGGGGGAGGGTACAGGGAGAAGGGGGGGGAGAGAGAGAGGGAGGCGGAAGGCGGAGGGTGCACTCTGCTGCATTCATTATATATAATTTTCCTTGTGTTCGGGTTTGTCTGTCTACATGCGAGAATAGGTTGATTACACACTATTTACAAGTCAGTCTCTGTATTTACTGTCGGGAGTGATCCCGACTCAGCGTTTGGCTTCGAGTTCTCGCTTCAGCTAGATGAAGCACCTGCATAGTCATACGCAACTAGTTAGACTGCAACAGGTTAATTGAACTTTGATTGATTGATTGATTGAGCGTGAAATTTATCGTCAGGTAAATTAAGTTGATGGGTGAAGCAGTACAGCGTCCCATGTTTGAAAGGTGGCTTCGTGAAGGCAATATAGGTGGTGTTCTCATCAAGCACCCACCTAGTCAATATTATTTCTACAACTACCCATCTACCTAATCATTCGATCAATATTTCTTGGCCCTCGGGCCTATCTTTATTTCACTATCGATACCGTAGTTGAAACAAAAAATAAAAGCATCACGATTGAATTATTGAGAAATTTTCATAACCCATAAATATAATCCTAAGATAAACTTCGGGGATCGATCGAAGGCAGAATTAATCGCCTCTTTTTTCTTGCTAGTAGCCATCCTCATTCCTTCCCACCCCTACCATTTAAAGATTGACCAACATATTGCGACCACTAGTGATATAATCCCTAGGTCCTATAGCTGAAGGGTACAACGGAATGCAAGGCTCACTTGCTGAATCTATGCTATAGGTTGAGGGATATAGCTATATCTCAATATAAAGTGAAGCCTATCAAAGCCTCCTATCAAAGCCTCGTAGAAAGTGAGATACACCCCCCCTCCCTCAATACTCTGTTATGAGTCCCGTTCTGGCCACAAAGCTAATATGAACAAGATGATACCTAGCCAGAGCGGCTTACCCAACACCTTCCCAACCTTGAATCACCACATGTTACTTTTCTCTTACTTTTGATTCTCAACAACCCTGAATCATATATCATTCAAAGGTCAATTATCACTGGAAATATATATATCTTATGAGTATAGTCTGAGGTGAAGGTATCAAACTAGTAGGGAGCTTAGTATATTCGTGTCAAGGGCTACTATACGGGTATTAGGTACTATCCATGTCGGCTTCAGTGGGTATGGTCTTTCCTTCTCTGGGGTGGCAGCCGTATCTTCCTCGTGAAAATGGGATTTCTTAAAGAATGACTATTTAATATCTCCCTTATGATTTCCTTCTCATTTTCGTTTTCTTCCTCATTTCAGTATTTCAACACCATTAGCGAAATTTTCAAGGTATGATCTTTTCCTCGACTAGCAGGATTCACGAGATACATATATGCAACTAGCACTGATTCTCATACCGTACACAGATCCATTCTCACAAGCAATCCCGAACATCAAGATCCCAAAACCGCACTCCTTACCAATTAGTGAGATAAACCACGTGAATGCAACCCCGTTTTGAACATGAAGCTAACAAAGGACAGTGGCCGATCAACGACCAATCCTAGCCCCTGATAGTAGGGCGCTAGATCATCTTACCGGACTGAGCCTTCGACGCAGGAGACGAGTCCACCGTCGCGCGACGATTATTGAAGAAGCCTTTGACGCGATTCAGTTCGCTCGCATGCTGGTAAACTGCAACAGCCAACAAGCACCTGGAGTGGGTATCTTTTGGGATCTAGAACTGCGGATAGGGGTGCTATTCAATAGATGCATGATGTTCAGGCTGAGGAGTTAAGGGATCATGCTCACGGACGAGCGATCTGGCGCCAACTTGCCTAGATTGAGTTGGAGACTTGGTGACAGGTCAGATTATTCATAACGCTATCGAGATGCAGTGATTAGTCTGAATCGCCTGCCACTAGTTTGTCGATTCCCACTGGGCACACGCTAGGTCTGGACTAGAGTGTGAGCTTTTGGGGAAGTAGATCGGCTTTTGTACACGGTATCATCAACAAAATGAAAAAAGAAAATACAAGTGTTTCAATGTAGAACTTCATGAAAACAACATTCCACATAACGCAGAGTGGAGGGTCTTGGGTGGTAAAACTTCTCTTTACTCGCAGACCTTCGTCCTTAATTGGGATAATTTTAACAGTGGCTCTCTATATCAGCCTGCGGCAGTGCCAGTTCCCCTTTGGTGTTTCTGCTGCTAGAAGCAACTTTGTTACCGCTGGAAGCTGGAGGGGGAGCAGGGGCATTGCATTTATAGATTTCTCATCTTTGAAACAGGAATACCTCGCTTCTCTATATCGACATGAAGAAGAATAGATCTACCTTCAGCGTTTTTTCCTACTAGAGGCCACTCTGTTACTCCTAAAACACTTTACTTTGGGGGGGGAAGGCGATCGAATTGCATTTTTAAGTGTTTCGTCTGTCAGCCTTTGCCTTGAGGCCGTGAATTATATAACTAGACATTTTGAAATCACGCAGTCCTCTTAATTTTTACTGACATCATTCATCAATTAGCCCTCTTCCAAATATCACTTCACTATCAATCGTAGCGAACTCTGTATATATGCTGGTATAGGGGTATATACCTAACTTTGAAGTATCCTAATATTGAAAGTCATGGTTACTGATTATTGTACCCTCATGATATAACCTGCCCCTGGACTGGCGAGTCACACACTAGGCCCAAAAAGACCACTATATCCGAGCATTACGCTCATATATTCCAGGCTCCGATATATATAGTGCGACATGACATCTCAGGCGACTACGCAGGGACTGAGTATGATTAACCCATCTTACACCCATAGCTCTCACCTTGAAGTCAGAGTTGTGCCTTCCTTCCAACGGCACCTGTTGTCGTAGGAAATAATATTTAATACCCCTCCTGAAAATTTTCTCATTTTCGTTCTTTCTTATCCACACCTCTTGACTTTTGGTACGAAACTTCAACCGCAAAGGGTATGACCATTTGGCTTATAAACTAGATTTTCTATGGTATAATGAACTAACAAATCCTTCGTACTTTCTAGTTACAAAATCAATGCTAAAAAGAGTGAGAGACAAACCATCCGCTCAATTCTCGCAGTTTCGAATATAACGCTGACAAGTGAAAGTGGCCGATCCCCGTCCTATACGGTCACTTAGCGATCAAAAGCTAGAGGACCTCACCCAACTACGCGTTGGATTCAATCAGCGATGTACAGCTCTTGGTTTTATTCTAAACAAAGCGTACAGCATGATAATCTTCATTCAACTTGCGATGATCCAAACGGTCGATGGCGACCAGCTTCCTCCTGTAGGAATGCTATTGACAACTATGATGAGAGTCAGCGAACTCGTCGACCAGATTTATATGCTACAGGCTGAGGCAAAAGAAGATCTCGAACTAGAAATTTCACTCTGGGAAGACCTCTGATATGAGATATCAGACACTTGGGTGTACTATCAATCAATCAATCAATCAAAGTTCAATTAACCTGTTGCAGTCTAACTAGTTGCGTATGACTATGCAGGCGCTTCATCCAGCTGAAGCAAGAACTCGAAGCCAAACGCCGAGTTGGGAGCACTCGCGGAAGTAAATACAGAGGCTGATTTGTAAAGAGTGTGGAATCAGCCCATTCCCGTATGTTGTAAACCTACAAACCCATACACAAGGAAAGTTATATATAATGAATGCGGCGGAGTGCACCCTCCGCCCTCCGCCTTCCGCCTCCTATCTCTCTCTCTCTCTCTCTCTCCCACTCTCTCTCTCTCTCCCACTCTCTCTCATCCTCCCTGTTCCCCCCCCCCCCCCCCCCCGTTCCGGTTGCAATTGGTGGTGTATTGTTCATGATCAGTTGCCTGGCATGCTCGTCGACTCTGGCTGAGCTTCTCGCTTCCCAGCTTCGTTTTCGTCATTGGCTGATACCCATCGTCTTCCACACCTAGCTCCATTGCCGCAAGGCCTGTCGGTTTGTCGTCATCGTCCTCCTCGATTCCCACGTGTTGAGACTGTTGGAGGAGACCTGTTCGGTGTATAAAGTTGGCCCCGTAGCGGATGGCCTGCGGGTTGGATACGAGCTTATCGTAATCCTTATCCTTCACTCCCACTTTGTCGAGCTATTTCCGCATTTTCATGAGGAGCCTGGTATACAACGGACATTGCACTTGGGTGTACTATCGGGGTGTATCTCCTCTGGGTACCGTCAGTGATTGGGTCAGGCTAGTATCAGAAATCTTTGTCTTCTGTCCACCCAAGGAAGATATTTCTCACAGCTAGCTTGCTGGCTGTTTAAGAAGCCTTCCTCCTTGCACACAAGTAAAAACTCTATTCTCAGTCGGGGTTCGTTGAGGGTAGAGATAGAATTTCCAAGGCAATTGATAATATAAGTATGCAAAAGAAACTTAAACTCAAAATCTCTACTAAAATAGTTCAAATATAATGTGAATCGATCCAGGAATGGACCAAAATTTCACCTCCTAATCTTCGGTTTCTGTCTTTGCCTTTTGTGCATTAGAATATACGTTATACCCAAACTGCCTCTCTTTAGCAGGTTTATTATAGTGTGCTAATCTTCCAGTTGCCAACGGTTCATTTCAGCGATCTGAGGCAGCACGGGTCATTTAGTAGGCTATAACTATCCCAACTAAGTTGGTATAAATCATCAAATTTTATATAGCCGTTTATGAAAATATTTTCAATCCCCCTGTTATCAAGTTCTAGTTTACGTTTAGTAAGGCCTGATCTTTTATATATCTATCAACTATGCCTATATATCTTGACGAAAAAAAATATGATATTAGGCTTTATTTATAACTATTCCTACCAAGCCGAAGTTAGATAGGCTTCACTGAGTTGAACCTTCCTTACGGTGAGAATCGCTGCAGCTCTTTTCTTATAGCAGTTACTACCCATTTAGTACCCTCTCTATTTATTTTCTCTTTCTCCTTTCTCTTGTTCCATTTTCTTGCAACTTTGAAAATAACACTAGCGAAGAAACAAGTGAGACACACCCCTGCCATCACTCCATTCTATGCCGGTTGCTAAACACAGCTAACAAGGACCAAATGACGGAAAACCAGACAATCGATAGTCTCAACAGCGAGCAGCTCAAGCTGGGAGAACGCCAGGCCACGCGAGCGGGCTGATGTCATATCATGTCCACTGTATGCGAGTTAATGCACCGATTCGTTGAAACCAATCAAGCTCCAGAAATCGGTATCATGTGGGCTCTTGAGATTTGCATGTTTCTCCTCAATCAAATGGCCGGTCTCCTAGTCGAGGAGCACTTTGACCTACTCTTGTTGGAAGTTTGCAAATCTCATGTGCTTCGAAGCTTGGTAATTCTTGTCTTTCTTCCTTCGTGCAGCAACCTCGGAAACTCTGTGAATACAATCATGAACCAAAGCAAAGGTTTTAGTCCTCAATTTGTGCAGAGATACCGTCGGCGGTTCGCTTATATCGCCTATTTCACTGATTTCCATATTAACCTGTCTCAATCTGTAAGCCTTGTGTCTTAAAGTTATGTGGCTTGTTGGCGGATCTTCGGGGTCTCCCTTTTGTTGCTACATGGAGTAAACTCGGAAATCCTTTAAACACAATCATTGAGTTCAGCGAGAACTTTGGTCCTCACCTTCTTGAAGCAAGCCTGCCCTCATAAGCCTAGCCAATAATTTAAATGAAGGAGTTGGATTTCTGGCCGTGGCGCTTTATATCGGAGTAAAGCACAATGCATTCTCTTCAGACACTTTTGCTGTTCCAAGCCACCCTAGCTCTGGCTGGTATAAGAGGGCCGTATTTTATTTGCGAATCTTTACTACAGGGATTCTGGAAACTACGGTATATGTATAGATATTCTGGAATCTCTGTTGTATTTTGTTTCTATAGAAATCTTTTGCCTACTAGCCACTATGAGTCTTATTTCATTGTCAATTATACCGGACTCTGGCTATAGTCCACAAAGATATGTTTGGACGCAATACCGTGCCCAGAAGATTATTTTCTACCCTGCCGGAATTTATCGAGCTTCAGCTGCAATTTCCACTCTTTTTCTAGTAAGATAAATCTGTTAGCGTATCGGCCGCCGCCTGACACAGCGTATGTAGTTTCCCTTCTCCCTTTTCCCGTCTTTCGCCTAAGTCCGTTATATCAATAGTATCGATATTTCCCTTGCCTCTCTTCCCGATAGATTATAAGGATACGGTTGTTGACTCAGAGCACGTTCCTCCAAGCGATAGTGATTCGTGAATTTATGGTTAAGGTTGTCGCAACGGCCCGTCCCGTATGTTGTGCAATCCCCACTTTCCACACGTGGACACGCATCACGTGTGCCTGTATACTACAACCTTGAAGAAAGCTTGGAACCTTCGAAGATCTTCGGCTAAAACCATTCAAGTTGCTGTTGTAACAATACAACACGCGTTGTATCCCGAAATTGTCATACAAAATCCGATATTACTCTAACACAGTTTGTCTCACTCCGTGAAGTCTATCTCCTCTACGAGGTACTTGTTGAAACCCCCTCGAAATGATTATCTTCTTCTCGATATTCAACATTTTCGGATTTTCGGAAGTCTAATTTAAACAAAACTAAGCAAGCAAGCCCTTATATTTCGTATTTTGGAGGTCATGAGCTTTTTGTAAATCTTCTCCCGCACTTTATAAGTTCACGAAGAAAACCTCTAGACTCACTCAGACTGATGGTGTGGGGCAATACAGCCATATAAGTATCCCTTGAACTCACACGAGCTGGAGATAGCTCAGATTCTCTTCATAGTAACCCCAGAAATTAAGACTGTCTTTGACAAAATATAACAACTGATCAGTATAGCCTTTTGCGCAAAACAAACACCCCCGGGCCCCTACACCGGTTTTCCGCGTTCCTCCTTTGAAAACTCCCAGATTCTCGATTGATCTCGCGACTCCAACAATGAAATCTAAGGTTCCCAAGTCCTATGAGCCGGACTTAACCAACAGTGGTTACTTTGAATTTTGGATTTTACTCCCAACTCAACGTGCAAGCAAAACTATCAAAAGCACAAAAATGGCTCAGTCTCTAAATATTCTACGTCTCTGTCTCATGTTGAGGGAATACGGGTGCTTAGAGGAGTCCTTGTTACTACATATATGTACGCAAGCATTGGTTGAGCTTGACCTTAATAGCCGGGGTCTTTCCTTTCTATGGTGACAGTTGCTTCTTCCTGGAGAAACTGTTCCGGTTTGTGGGCATTTTTATTTAATATTTTCCGCGCCACTTCTTTTTTCTCCCTTTGTCAATATTCTCACTATTTCTCTATCATCGCCCTATCCGAGAATAACACAAGGTCTGACCCTTTTGCGCATGAGCAATATTAATCGCACAATCTACTAAAACTATTCATTCCACTGCTGTGATACGAAATTTTAGGTTGGTTCAAATTGCTAGCGTCGGGGGTGCCAGATTTATCATCATTCCTAGTAACTATGCAAATATGATGCCATATCATGCAACTTTCGTGGTATGTCGATTGTCATTATCCTGCTCATTGCGTCTCAAATGTGTGCTTTCCTAACAAGTATCAAATGTTGAAGGGGCTTTACCTCTAAGCTCTATAGCTATTTCCCCGATGCTAGCCCTGTCATGCCTACTAGTATCCTACGACCCGAACTTTCTACAACTATGAACTTCAATTTCAATTTCAATTTCTCCTACACTATATGCTAAGTATACGGGCCGAAGGGAAACATGATTGTTGTGTATTTGAAGCGAAGATCAAGGGCAGTTAGGCTAGCCATTTCATAATTGACGAGAGGATCAAGATATGAGCTCGGCAGACGAAGCCAAAGCACCGGCCGAAGTAACTTCCATTCGCCTCTAGACAAACGCGCAATTCCGACTACATCAGCTCTACAATTTTCTACACGTTAAGTTTGTTCTCGCAACAATCAACCCCTTGGGCGTAATAGGTCTTGGCAATTGCTGAAATCTTCCCATCTAAAATCTTCCCTTGATTGTCTTTACGCTGGACAGTCGATGAAGATGTCGACGGGAGACTTCCCCGCGGGCAGTTTTATGGCCGAAGCTCCTCTGAAAGTCTGACTCCATCATTGAGAGATTCTCTGGCTTTTTCCTTTGCTTCTCTGCTGGATTTGTGAACGAAATGTAGCCGGAATTCTCTCCGTTGTGCGGAAGAATAACCCCAGAAATAAGAAATGGTTTTATGGAGCAAACTATTCTGAGCGCATGAATTCTCCTGTCAAATGAAGTTAACTTATCATATTTCGCAACCTGGTTCGAATCCTCTGTCCCTCGAAAGTTATCTATCCTCTTCCCCAGAGCGGCTAGAGCTATTGCACACAATCCTGGTGCTGCATGGACAGTGCATCGATCTTAAGTGTATAAATTATCAATCACGTAGAAACTCAATGGTACTGAATGAATGATCTAACATATTTCAATAACCAGGAAAGCTTGAACTTGTGCACGATATCGTTGGTTGAAATCATCAACTAATTATATATATTACATGAACAGGACGTACGGGCGACCTGAATGAGAATATATTTCCAATATAAATATATATTTTCACTAGAAAAAGCATGACCAAACGAATCGTGTTATATTATGAGTTGTCTGTATGAAGTTTAAACGTGATAAGAATATTCGATGCAGCAGGTACAACGAAGTCATGCGAGTCAGACTTTTTGCTATGTCTCTAGAATACGGAGACGTGGGGTAGATAGAGGCAGTAGCAACATCAGAGCACTTCCATTTTCACGCACAGAATAGTCAGATGCTTCTACGGGCTTGTGATGTCGTTTTGCGGTGTAAGTGTTTTTGGCAGTGTTATTCAATACTCCTTGTGAGATGTTCTTTTGTTTCTGATATTTCCCTCTCCTTTTTTTTTTTTTTTTTAGATACACGGAAGAAATAGACAAGTATAGACCGTGGAAAATCACCCCTCTATGTATAATATTTGATGATGATAACTCGAGAGTGACTGCCGAGATCATAGGCCGAGCGCGGAATGCCGATATTTTCCTAGCGAGGCGGGGCCGCGCTAGCGTTCGGGATTCGAATTTATGCAGCTACCCCACACCGGCGGTGTTTTCGGTGTCTGATTGGTAGTTCGCCGCCATACTAGCGGCCTCCACTTCCATGGTTCGGGTGACCTTTTCGCATCTCTCCCCATGGGACCGTCCAGGTGTCTCATGTGGTTGAAAACTCTGGAGTATTCGCGAGGTTGCTCGGTGTAAATGACACCGAGTATTGCATTGCCTTCCCCCCAGTTCGGATATCTAGATGGTTTTGGCCAGTGGTGGCGTTTTAAACATGTGATTATTCTTGACGGGTTTGAACATTTTGATATTGAGTTTTCAAATTAAATTTACTCACTTCAAATCTCAGAAACAACGGTACACCATGCAGATTTCTCGCTGTGGCATTCATGGTTTCCATGAGATCCTCGGAATCGACGCTGATGAGATCCGCTTCTACTGGGCAATTGAGAGCAAGGACCAAGATGCGACTCAAGTCGCTTATCGCATTGTGGTGACAACTGATGCCACACATCTCGAATCAGATAACTCAGACTCTTCCAAATTGGTCTGGGACTCCCAGCGTGTTGAGAGCAGTGAACAGAGAAACATCCTCTGCAAGCCGTCTAACGGCTTCCAATCCACTACCAGTCATTTCTGGAGAATCACTGTGTGGGATCAGAACAACAATGCCCACCATGGCCCAATAAACCACTTCTTCACTGCTTACCCGCGATCTCATCTTCTGCCGCCGTACAGTATGAACCAGACATACATGCCTCACACCAGTCTGATTTTCAAGTCTTGGTTCGAAGACGAGGCAAATCGCTGGAAAGCGGTTTGGATCGGTGATGGCGGCGACAAGCCCATTTATCTCAGGAAGTCCTTTGAGCTGGCCCGGAAGCCAGCTCGGGCTATCTTGTTCGCATCGGGACTGGGCCATTTCAATATGTCGGTCAATGGTCAGCCGGCTTCTGACCACCGCCTTGATCCAGGCTGGACCAATTACCACCGCCGTGTCCAGTTTACATCCTACGATGTGTCAGACCATCTTCATGCAGGGCAAAATGCCCTGGGCGTTCATCTGGGCAACGGCTTCTACGCTGGAGACAAAGGTGGCGATGACCGCTTCTTCTGGCCCATGTACGAAGATAATACATACGTTCGGTACGGCAATGAGCTTTGCTTCTTCGGTGAATTGCATCTTTTCTACGAGGACGACGAGCACATCGTGCTCACCTCTGATGCGTCTTGGAAAGTGAGGAAGAGTGCGACCACACTGGCTAATATCTATGCCTCTGAGAACCATGATCGACGTCTCTACCCTGCAGGCTGGGACTCTGCCAGCTTTGATGATACAGAATGGGCCCCAGTAAAGCCTCTCACTGGGCCGAGAGGCCATCTTTATTATCAAACCCAGCCTCCAGTTGTGCTGCATGAAACCTTCGAGCCGGTAAAGGTTCATAGCCCTAAGAAGGGGGTTGTTTGTTACGACCTGGGCCAGAATTCATCGATCATGGTCAAACTCGCCGTCGAAGGCGCTGCTGGCTCAGAAATTGTTGTTCGATACTCAGAGACTGTCAGAGAAGATGGCACTGTCTTGATGCCCGATCCTCTGTTCAAGGAATTCGAGACAGGCGTCTTTTCAAAAGTTGTGTTGTCTGGCACTGGCCAGCCTGAGATCTGGGAGCCAGACTTCAGTTTCACTAGTGCTAGATACATCCAAGTAGAGGGTGTGTCCTTGGATGCCGGTGACGGATTGCCCATTATTCATTCTGCAGTTGGTCGCCACATCTCCTCAGCGGCTAGAAAGCTCGGAACTATGACAACCGACAAAGAGGATGTCAACTCGTTGCTGAACGCCCTATACTGGTCATTTAGCAGCAACCTCTTCAGTTACCACACCGATTGCCCACAGATCGAGAAGTTTGGTTGGCTTGAAGTCACTCATCTTCTTGCTCCGGCTACACAATACATCCGCGACATGGAGAGCTTGTACACCAAAATCCTTGATGACATCCTGGACAGCCAGGAGCCTAGTGGTCTCGTTCCAACAATGGCGCCGGAGATTCGCTATATGTGTGGCCCTCTGCATGACACCATCACGTGGGGCTGTGCGCTGTGTCTGCTTCCCGATATCCTGCGACAATACTATGGGTCCACACACGTCATCCCCAAGGTATATCCCGCTGCAGTTCGATATATGGAATACATGCAGACCAAAGAGCGCAAGGGTGGTCTGATTGAGCACGGACTGGGTGATTGGGGTCGGGGTATCGCCTTTGGCAACAACCAAGCAAACATCGAGACAGCCATCTACTATCGCTGCCTCCAATGCGTTGAAATGATGGCTCGCGAGCTCGGCAAGCTTGAAGAAGCCGAGAAGTTCAAGCAGTGGTCTTCTCGTATCTATGACACCTACAATAAACATCTCCTGGTGACTGATGACCCGTCCCGACCCTATGCCTATTACACATCGCTCGACAACTACCCAGAAAGGGACCGCGACGCAATCGCCCAAGCAATGGCTTTGCAATTTGGCCTCGTACCCGCCAAGCACCACAGCGACGTAATGTCCGCTTTCTTGGACGATGTCGCCGATGGCAAGATCCGCGCTGGTGAAATCGGACTACGCTTCCTTTTTAACACACTCGCTGATGCCAAGCGACCGGATCTCGTTCTGCAAATGGCCAGACAGGAGGAGCACCCTTCATACATGCGTTTCCTGCGCCGTGGAGAGACAACGCTGCTGGAGTTCTGGCAAGATGAATGTCGCAGCAAGTGTCATGACATGCTGGGCACAATCTACGAGTGGTTCTACGCTGCCGTGCTTGGGCTGAAGCCTATTTCGGAGGCATACCGTACTTTCCTGATTGATCCTCCTTATGAATCTGAGTTTGGCCATATTAAGGGATCTGTCGATTCTCCTTACGGCATGATTTCGATTGAATACACCTGCACGGGAGGTAATTCGGTAAAATTGGACGTTCAGGTGCCATTTGGGACTATTGCTACCGTCAAGCTCCCGCTTGGTATGAAACAGGTTGAGGTCGGCCGTGGAACAGACGCACGCAAATTTATCGAAGGGAAAGAGTTGGAGCTCAGCCATGGACTTTACAATGTATTTATTCAGTTATAGGCAATACATAGAAATATAGAGGTTCTAGAGACATACCGGGCGATGTTGTAACTTAAGATTTTGCCATTCTTCAAAGCCACGAGATAACCATTTTTTCCCTGTGAGAGTATAATCGACTATAGGTTTTTTCTGTACACGTTGATAATTTTGAAAAATTCGCGCTCCCAGATTGATTCGTTCAGATAACACCATAGATAACCTGTGGACAGGAGCGCTGAGGGTACCTAATTAGGCCTAGTCCGCCTCGATTTTATAACTCCACTTCAAATATCCACGTGTGGCAAGGCCTAAAACCGTCCACGTGGCTACTGTAATTCTATCAGTCCTACTCCGTACTAGGTATTGACATAACCCTATAGTATTCCACTTTTTTAAGCTGTATTCTGCCGTGTGTATGGGGGGCCTCAAAATAAAATTTTATGCGAAAATCGGATTCTGCACAACATCGAACGCCAAGACTCCTCGCCGGTTTAGAAACCCCGTTAGGCTGCAATTAGGGTTTGGCTGCATTCAGTATCCACCAGTTCCCCTCCAACGGGGTAAAACCCAACCGAGACTTACAGGAAACTATTATTACCGATTTACAGATCATGAGCTAATCTAGCTAACATGGCTCGATTCTTCGGGGAAGATCAGACCGAAGTTCTCCGCTTTTTGTTTTGTTTCTCTATACCACGCCACGCAAGCCCTCCCCGAGCTCCTCGAAACTAACGGAGGGCGACAAAAGAGGACTAGCTCGTCTATGATCTAGTCCCCTCATTCCCCCAATCTCTATATAATATGCCTGGGGTATCCCCACGGGGTATACGATCAGAATCTGTCTGAAGTGTGTCATTTTTTTGGTTATTATTTCGCAGACGAATTGCGTATCACTCTCAACAACATGGTCAAACTCAAGACTTTGCTGACGGCCGTGTTCCTGGCTACTGGAGGTACGCATTGCACATCGGGTCAGTTCCACAGAAAAGCACTCACAGACTAAAACTCTGTCTTAGGATTCCTCTTCGGCTATGACAGTGGTATCATCACATCGACCATCGGCCAAACCGAATTCATCAAGTATTTCTCTGACCCCAGCGACACCGTGACCGGTGGCATCGTGTCTGCATTCCAAGGCGGCGCCATCCTGGGCACAATCATCAACATCTTCACTGGTGATCGACTGGGCCGCAAGTGGTCTGTCTTTACTGGCTCTGTCATATCGACCTTTGGGTGTGCTTTGCAGGCTGGTGCTATCAATTTGCCCATGCTGATTATTGGCCGCTTCATTGCTGGTGTTGCGGTTGGCATGCTTACTTCTGTCATCCCAATGTATGCTGGTGAGATCGCCGAGGCTTCATCTCGTGGTATGATGTCTGGTCTGCTGCAGTGGATGTTAAGTTGGGGATTCCTTGTTGCTCAGTGGCTGGGCTATGGATGTTCATTCAATCAGACTGCCTTCCAGTGTAAGTGGACTCTTCAAACCTGGGCTTGAGTCGAAGGCGACTTTATGGGTCATGTTTTTCTTTGCTTGATACTGATATATGCTTTCCAGGGCGATTCCCTCTCGCTTTCCAATGTGTACCCGGCATCGCCCTCGTCAGCGGAATCCTCTTCTTGAACGAATCCCCGCGTTGGCTGATGGAAAAGGATCGCCACGAGGAAGCCCTCGTTGCACTCCAGAACCTACACGGTGACGGCACAGCAGAAACAGCACAGTACATCGAACTCGAGTTACAGGAAATCCGGGAGACTATCCAGGCCGAGCGCATGCATACGAAGATCTCCTTGACCTCAATCCTGCGCAAGCCTTCTTGGCGCCGCCGTCTCATCCTCGGCTGTGGCGTGCAGTCCTTTGGTGTCCTGTCCGGAATCAACGTCATCAACTACTACGGAACTCGCATCTATGACACCCTCGGATTCGACACGCAAATGTCTCTTATGATCATCGGAATCTCTGGCGCCCTGTCCATCGTCTACTGCACTGGAGGTCTATGGGCACTGGAGCGCGTGGGCCGTATCAAGCCCCTCATCTTCTCTGCTGCAGGAATGGCTGGCGCACTAGTGTGCAATGCTGCCATGTCCCAACACTGGGACGATAACAACTCGAACCAGCTCCGGGCAATGGTAGCTATGAATTTCGTGTTCAGTTTCTTTTATACCTTCGTTGGGATCATTTCTTGGGTCTATCCCGCTGAGATCTTCCCTGTCGATATCCGTAACCAGGGTAATTCGATTACCACCTTTACTAACTGGACTCTCAACCTTGTCCTCGCCCAGGCCTCGCCGACTGCTTTGTCTTCAATTGGTTTCTCTTACTTCTATGTCTTTTTTGTCTTCAACCTGATTGCTATGGTATCCTACATCTTCTTCTTCCCTGAGACACAGGGCAAGACTCTGGAGCAGATGGATTCGCTGTTTGGTGATGATTTACCTATGGATGTCGAAAATGAGAAGAAGCAAATCGAGGCGGTCATGGTGGAGGATACGAGCAAGTGATGTACATAATTATTCGCGATATGGCATAATTCCTAGGATGATGTCTGAGTGCTAAACAAGCACATTTAAGTTGAGTTCTTCTTCCTAAGGGAAAATGTTAAAGGGGAAAAATCTCACGTATCAATTTAGTCAATTGGACGAAGTAGGAAAATAATGAGTGACTGGTACGGTGATGTGGCTTTCTGCATACCAAGGGACTTGCTAGATGTACTGTAGTGTTAATAAAATAAAAGTAATCCCCGTGGAGGAGTTGAACTCTGAGTAGTTTCGTCCCAATTGGGAAGGAGGCCCTACATAGACATGTGAAAAAATAATCCATTGCACAAATCCGTCTCAGTTACCCAGTATATGGCCCTTAGTAATGGGGAGCACGTCATAGCTCTGGTAGCGGGGAAATTGTACGCTCTGGTCCTTAACCTGGAGCTGTGGGTCTCCTCACACCACTGAGGCTCCAATACTGGTGTTGGCTTTGTGGAGGTGGATTTGTGCACCCCTTTTTTTTTTTGCTTAATTCAATCATCATACTATGATAGTGTATATACTTCATACATCGTCGTTGCAAATCACGGTAGTCATGTGTCCTCAAAAGGGGATGGGTCTGGTGGAAATTCTATGCTACAACTGGTGATAGTGGAAAAGAGTGAGAGTGGACAACACAGACTGATGCGACGGCCTAGCTTCCATTCTGTCGCTGCTGACCGCCCTTACCACCACCTCCACCTGGGCAGAATCTCACCCTATGAGAGCTGAGCGCTACTCATGTCCATGTACAAGTACACCTGCTTTCTTCTCTGTCATTATGACTGGAACCTTCACCAAGAGGGCACGAGCTGGAGCCTGCGTCAACTGCCGGTAGGTTATAGCTCATTTATCCTCAAGGTGATACTAAACATGAAATTTTAGCATGCGCAAAAGGCGGTGCAATCCAGTAGGTGATGGGCGTGGTTGTACTCTATGCCACTCTCTCTCCATTCCATGCGGTCTCGATAATTCTCTTGTGGTATCCAGGTCGTCAAACAGTCTCCAGGAGACGAAAGTCCAAGACACTTGTGTGATTTTTCATGATCTGGCTCGCCTTTACTTTCGCTTCATCCACAATGTGATTCATACCATGATCCACGAAGCCAAGTTCATGCAGCAATTCAACGATGGCACAGCTTCTATGATGCACATTTATGCCATGTGTGCACTTGCTGCTAGGTTTTCTGACGACCCTGTCTTTGATGGCATCCCCCGAGGCTTGCGGGGCAACGTTTATATCACCGAAGCTGTGCGTCTCGCTCAACAGGCTATCATCCTTCCAAGCTTGGAATCTATGCAAGCCATGGTTTTGATTGGGTACTACTATGGCGGGGAAGGTGACACGAAAGCAAAGCACGTGTATATCGGCCTCGCTCGGCTACACGCAGAAACCTTGTCACTCTGGGATGCGACCAAGGATGACAGTCTCAGTCCCCTGCATCAAGAAGAGTATCGTCGTACATGGCTTTCTGTGGATATTGGTAGTGCCTGGTCAGCAACAGATATTTCAACCGAGCCTGTATTCTTGAACCATGGCCCACATGTGGATACTCTGCAATTTGATGACATGGCGTTCCAGAGTCTCGATCCAAGCCTAGCACCAGGATCACCGGTCTATCCTGTATCTCCCTACAATATGTGGGCTTATATGGCAAAGACACTTGGTATATTTAACAAGACCAGTGGGCTCCTACGACGGATGAGTCAAGGATTGGTTCCTTTCGCTGATTATTGCCAAGAAGCCGCTGTGCTGGAATCCTATCTTGACCAATGGGAGGAAAGTCTGCCCGCAAGTCTAAAGTATTCCACAGAAAATATCATGTCCTCTGCCGAGAAACGGCTTGGTCGGACGTTCCTCGCAATGCATATTGGCTACCACCACTTTCGCCAAATGCTCTTTTTCCCTTTTCTCGATGCTCGCAGGAATCGGCATAATATAAAGCTTGCAGAAAAAGCCGCCCAATGCAAACACCATGCAAATACAATATCCAAAATTCTACAGCATAGTACAGACATCGAAGGTTGCGATTTGAATTGTTTCATCTATGGACATATCGCTGTGATAAGCTCTTGTGTTCACCTCCACACTTTGCTCTCTAGTGATAAACCCGAACAACTTTCCGTCGCACGACAATGGTTACTTTCGAACTTCAAATACTTGATGGATATCAAATCATATTGGCCTGTGGTCGATCACTCTGTGGGTCCTTTTTTTTCAACCTGTTCTACGGAATACGACTGACAATGCGAATAGCTGGCACGCCTTCGAGAGTTTCAGAACTCCTGTCGAGATTCCATATCAGACCCATTTGTGCTGGATAATTGGATGGCCCGCTTTCTGACCGAGCATTCGTCCTATATCTCTGAGCGCAAAACTTGCACGATGCAGCCGTCTGGTTTGGATCCAGAGACCACCACAGCGAGTAATATATGTGCAAAGGCTCCTGCGTCCGACTCTGTCAACAATGTGGAGACTGGTCCTGATATGAATGATCTCTCTGATTTGCTACATGATCAACAAGTGACCAGCGAGGCTCTTGTTAGTCATGCGATTGACTGGTTGCTTGAATGAATCCCAAGAAATATACGAATACCCCTAATATTGCGACGTTAATTTCAATTAATGTTACCCCCGATATTCTTTAGCGGAAGTCTTGAAATTTGCCTAGCAATGGAAGTTACAAAGTCAACAATGTACCTCTGGATGGGCAGGCTATAAAACCTCAAGCGGACCACAAGATCCTACAGATTTGCATGTGCAGCCAATATGTACCTGCATCTTTAATTGTTACAGCTCGGAGGATACGTAGCTCTATAAATCGACAAATAGCAGAATGAATTTCCGTTCAGATTTTCTGTTGCCAAAGCTCACCCTCTTAGACCTTCAACCTCGTAGGAGGTCTTGTGCTACGATTCTTTTATAGCTGAAACATAACTCGGGGGCATCGGATGACATCGTGGCTTTCTACGATTGTAAAGCTCCAAATGCGGAACGCTGGAAAGTACCAAATATAGGTACCAAGTGACTTGTAGATGGTACAGCTATATCGCATGGAGCCAGTAAAAATGTCCAACAGAATCTTATGTTTCCAGGCGATGCCCGGCATTTTACCCGAGGTGAACACTGCGTCTTAGAGTTTGCTAGAGGTGAGGAACTTTCTGGGCGTCATCAAGTCTCACATTCTGTTATTTTTGAGAATAAGAAATCTCTCATGAAAGCTCTGCGAAATTTAAGTTTGATTTTACTCATACATAAAGGTAACGAAACTAGTTTTGGTGCAGCTGGTTGATTGAACTTTGATGAATTGATTGATTGCTTGCTCACTGGACGTGACCCCAGATAGAGCCCGTCAGAAAGAGCTCAAATTCTTCCTCTTTGCCCAACTCAAAGATTTCTCGCAGTAGCTCAGACATTTCCTCCTCTAATTCGCAAAGGAGGTTAACTATCGACGATGGGTAAGGGTGTGGTACGGTGATTAGGACTTGCATCGAACCTATAATTGCACACGCACGGTCAAAAATTTCCTCGCGGGCTTGCATACTTGCGAGGAGCTCTAGCTGCTCCTCGCCGGGGGTAGGAATTGGCTGTGTGTTAGCCACTGTAACCTTGTTAGCTTTGTGAGCCCGTTGGGGATAGGGTAATAGTGGAATAGTTTATCTCACTAATTTGGAAGAGAGGCTTTGAGACAGCCAATAGCAGAGTAGATAATTTGAGATAGAGTATCTGAACGGTAACTAGTATATATTTGTTAGGTTATTATTTTGCCGGAAATGTTCTCTATAGGCTGAAGGATACCTTCTATGGATTGAAATATCAATCAATCAATCAATCAAAGTTCAATTCACCTGTTGCAGTCTAACTAGTTGCGTATGACTATGCAGGCGCTTCATCCAGCTGAAGCAAAAACTTGAAGTCAAACGCCGAGTTGGGGTTCTCCCAAGAGTAAATACAGAGGCTGATTTGTAAAGAGTGGAATCATCCTATTCCCGGATGTTGTAAACCCACAAACCCATACATAGTAAAAACATCAAACGAATGCAGCGGAGTGCACCTCCTGCGAAGGGGCATAACGGCCAATGTTCCAATGGACTTTTTGGCCTAGTTTATGCCTAAAAATGCCTTATTGGTGCCTTCTTTTCAACAGGCAGAAATTAAAATACCTGAATTACAATAACAGGTGTCTTATTAAGCAAAGTACCCAAAGTGCTCAAGTCCAATAAAATGAAGCTATTCCCACGGTACAAAATATTATACACCCCCCCGACCGCTTACCGTTTATTCTACGAAGTTGAAGTCGCAACTGTTTTCATCCGCGCTTGTTGTTGCGAGACGCTCACTATAGATCCGAATCAAATGATATAGCTCACTATCGTTAAAGGCGCCTAGTCAAGCCTGTCTGGCTGATTTTGATCTGGTATTTGTCCTTGAGAATGGTGCGAATAGCTTCATAGGTGGTTTTTTGTTAGAGAAGATCGAGTATCTCGGCTTGACAAGTCTCAATATCGATTAGGCTGGTGTTTCGTGCGTTATGACGATGGTTGGAGATAGGAATAGCTCCAGGGCGATGATGATGATGGAAACGATGATGGGAATAGCTTCATTTACAATACACTGTATAGAGCTCTCAAAAAAGCGGTCTATAATCAGGCATCATTCAGGCATCACTAGACCAAAAATTCCATTGGGACATTGGCCGTTAAACCCCTTCGCGTTTGGGGTTTATTGGAGGGTTCTGCGGTGAGCAATAAAATATATAACAGTTGAAGTGGGTCATATATATGATTTATGAAGCACAAAGAATTTCTCCTAGTGCCTTAGAGGGCCACGGGAATTCACAATGCTCTATATTTATATACCATTCATTATCTTCTTGTAGTAGGACTATTGGTCTTTCTACTACTAGAAGACACTACGCCCCCAGATATCATCAAATCGCATTTCTTTTCTCACTTCTCAACGAGATTATCATTGAGTAACCCTATATTGAATTTGCTCCAAGATATACCTCAAAAATCAGATATTATAAGAGCATAGCTGATTTGAAAGATATTGCAATGCTGAGGTGGTTACTCCGTACAACTATAGCTGTATAATAATTGGTGAGACTTCACTAGCTCAACAGTTTCGCTCTTTCCTATTAGATGTAACACTCGTCCCTCCCCCGCAACAAGCCGTCTCTTGAATAACCAATATTTCAAAGTCCTGTCTTCCTCCTACTTTATCCTTCAAAATCATCTCAGCTTTTACCGCGCCCTCAACGAGGCCATGCTTACTAGTTGTCAGTCCTCCGTATTCATCATCTTTGACAATCTTCTCCCACACCAGTGAGATACACCCTTCCCGTTAATACACTATTCACAATTGTCTTCTAAAGTTAATAAGGATAAAGTGGCCAACAAACGTCCAATCCCTACCCCAGATGATGAACAGCTCGACATTCTTGCAAGCATGCAAGGGCGATTCGCTGTGCGAGTGCGGGATCGCGATGTGATCTTCGAATGTGCATGTACAATTATGGACTTGGCACAAATCTTGACAATCATACAAGACGCATATCCAACTTCTGCAGTGAACATCCTCAATGAGTTACAGGAGTAAATGTGTGGCTTGTTCCAGGAGATGGTTGAGCTCGGAACTGAACAAGAGACCGAGGTGTTCTTAGCAGGTTTTATCTGGCGCTACCTCAGTTGACTGTCGGAGGTTTTTTACCTCGTCGTTGACTACATGTGGAGAGCTAATTAGATTTCCTTTATTCTCAACTCTATTTAAGATCATGCTTCACTGACCCTCAATTAAGCATCATTTGCTATTTAGTATGACTTGCTTATATCTGGTTGTGGAGACATCAGTGTTATAACATGCCCCTAGACTGGCGAGTTACACACTAGGCCAAAAAGACCACTATATCTGAGCATTACGCTCAGATATTCCAGGCTCCGATATATATAGTGCGACATGACAATCAGCATGCTAAAAAGGAGGTGTGGCTATTTTCCTTACGCAATCATTTGTTAGACTGAACTACCTAACACTTGCTCTTGCCTTCCCAAGTTAAATTCAAAACGCTCCTTCTCTTGTAGGGATTGTCATTCGAACTCCTCTCTATCGCTCTGTCATCTCCCCTCTTCCTTCGTCTTTTATTCGCTGGAAGCTCTTCCTACAGCCGTACCATACGCACACACCCACAGTATGACCTATGAGCGATATTTGTGGCGACATGATAAGCTGACTAGGGGACAGTGGCTAGGTATCTTACAACCTATGAGCGCACCAGTTACATCCTTCCCTGTCACAAATAGTGAGATAGACCACTTCTCCTCGAGTATGCGCTCCCAACCGTTCTTCAAGTCTTGAATTACAAAGTTGACAAGCGTGAAGTGGCAAACAACCAGCGTATCCCAACACTAGAGCTCCTTGCCATGATGCAAGTGCGCAGGGTCGTACGAGACAATGCTCCCCGTCAAATTCTTCAACGAGCGTCTGATATTATGGAGTTTGCTCAAAACTTGATGCATAACCCATAGCCATACCTTGCCTCTATGGCTAGCCTGCTATCCGGACTAGAGGAAGAAATGACATTATTGCTGCAAGAGATGGCCGACCTGACAGCAGAAGGGGAAACTGAAAGCCTCCTTGCACAGTCTATCTGGCGCCACGTGAACCAAATTGAAGCTTAGAATAAAGGGTCACGACAAAAAAAGGCCTTTGGGTGCAGGTGCAGATCCTTCTACAGGAGATACTTGCCCTCCGAGGCCAAGAGGAGTACGATCACCTAATTCAACAAATAATATAGCGCTTTCGTTGTTGATTAGGTTCTTTGGTGGCCTTTTCCTGCTTCAGTCACGGAAAGGTCGCAACTTAGGTCCTATGTGCAGATTTCGATTTAAGAAGGATTGATCAAAGCGGGATGGAGAGTTCAGCAAAGGTAGAAGCCAGAACCCCAGTATAACTAAAAATACGAAATACTTCCAGTACTCTCCTCAATATCCGAACTAGAAGCCGAAGGCAAGGCGGCGTTGAGCGCAAGCGGTCGATTTCAATGCCATGGTCGATATTGTCGGAATGCTCAGCATACCTGACTCCAAATCATGTGTTCCTTAGTAGCGTCGCGTTATTCTTCATCCATTAAATGGCCCAACCATTTGAGAGTGGTATTGGTATCGAGCTTCGAACCACGTTGATGAATCTCAAAGAGGGCTTCCTTCAAACGGCGAACAAAGTGCAAGGGATTGTTTCCTATATACTGTAAAGCACAAAGGTTTTCAAAGCGTTTGAAATTGGACTGCCAGGAGGGGGTACCGTATTTATTGTAAAGGATCCTGTATACGTCTCTTACAATTTTGACTTTATCAATAAGAGAGGCAGGAGCTGGTTTAAGGGTACTAAATATTAGGTTATAAACCCGAGTATTGTATTGCTCCTATTTATCGAGTTCTTTCTGCCAGTCGGCGCGAAGACGAGAATTCTGAAGCTGCCGATCTTTCTTTGTCTCACGGATAACGATATCAGTGACCAGTTCCGGATCAGCAGCACTGACAGTAAGGAGCTATCTGATAGTGCTTTCGGAAGTGTCAAAGTAATCAGGCTAAGCAGGACGGGTATTGTCTTCTCTGATCACCCTGATATACGCTTTATTGTTTTCTTTTAGGGCTATATAGAAGCGGTGCTCCCAATTGGCCCAGTTGAATTCTCCCTTCAACTTCAGAACAATCTTCTCGATATCGGTCTCATTTCGGCGATCGAAATCGAATTCAAAGGTGGTAGGGGGAGGGTCTTGAAGGTCTTGCAGGAGCCGGAGCTGGAGCCGGTGGCGGCGATCCTTCAGGAGTATCCGATATCGTTATTGGACGGTATCGAAAAGAGAGTATCCACTGTGTGGATGAAAAGGATTATCAAGATGTAAATCTTGATGAGATGATTGGTGGAGTATCTGTAGGGGGTCTCAAATCTTGCAGTTATGTAGAAGACTTGAGAAAACGGAGCTCATAACCTGGAGAGAGTACTAATAGTATCTACAGATGAAAGCAGATAAACTGGAAATACTCAGATTGTGCGTAGAGAGGGAAGAGAAGAGAAGAAAACTATCTACTGGAAGGATAGCTAAAGCTAGGAAGGAAGGGTGTCACATGACCACCCTCAACAGATATCCTTTGACCAATATTAGAATAAATTATGGACGGATCTATTCATCACTCCATCTTGTACTAGTACATATGCTACGGCTAGTAAATACCATCAAGATGGACCAATCAGCTAGCTACGAACTCATCTCAGCACAGTCCCACATTACATGTTTGGACGTTCTTTTATCACACAAACTATATGTATACGTGGGCACCATCAGCTCTCACTTTGCTCTTACTTCTCACTCAGTAGTATATCAAACATGACGCCATCCAGTAGGACTTGCTATCTATATATTTCACCAATACGTATACTTTGGTAAATATCATCCATCAATTTCTACACACAACTCATTGGACTCTGTCAAAGCAGTAAGCCAAGGCTGATCCATGATTTCGTTTTTCACAGGGAACTGGTTAGGAAGCAATGATTACAATCCTTTTAGACGTTATCCTTGAATTGCGACCTCAAGAAGAATGGAACTTGCAAATTCTAGGTCTCTGTGAGCAGTAACCAAAATAAAGTCCCTTGTTTAATTGCGCCACTTTAGCGGTTGAGTATCTAATTATTTCGTTATGCTTCAGTTTTCCCAAGGCTTGATCGCGCGTGGAATAAAAACTCTCAGATGTTGCGGTCTCAGGCCAGGTTTGTTATAAAAGAGCATTGCAACTTTGAACCCCTTCTCATAAATCAGATAGGCATCGTCAACTCCCACTTTGTTTTTGCGCTTCGCTGAAGTTGTTTCTTGATTCGGACTTTACATACATGTATCTCTGAAGGTGGGAAACATACTGATATATTGCTGCCATTATGAGGCATGCATTCAACTTGACTAGCTGATATTACTCCTTCCTTTTTGGGGACAATCCCACCTTCCCGATAAAAGCGCGGTGTTTCGATTGCTATTTAAAACACTCTCTGGCCCTTTTGTGGCTTTTCTTCTTTAACTACCGCATTTCTTACTAGCTAATTAACAAGGTGTGTATGAATGACCACTCGGACTATGACTGAGATTTGCGACGAGGAAATGAGCTAACTAAGATTCTGGGTACTTAACAGGCTATCTAAAATTATCATTTACTAAATATTACCTAACATACACGACCTCCTCATAGTGAGACAAGCCCCGTCCCTGACTAGGTTTCGTACACAACACTTACCAGAAAGAAATGGCCTACAATCGCCAAATTCAGGCTCCAACCAGTCAGCAGCTTGAGGACATGACCTAGATACGGGTCAGGGTGATCCAACGAGCTCGGGCGCATGCAATAATACTCGATCAAGCTCAAGAAATTTTGGACTGGGTTCACTTTTTGACCGCACTCAACCCATACGTTCTCCCACTGGCGTATGTCAATTCCCTTTTTAACATTCTCGAGCACAGATGGGCGGTGCTGCTAGGTGTTGTATCCATGCTACGCGAAGAGGAAGCCCGTGATCAAGAGATGCTCAGTCTCTGGGAGAGCTGAGCACTATTTTCTTTCAAAGCGCCAGTCTAGCTTCTGCAGCAAACTTATCAATTCTACTCTCACGTTACACCATGGATTTAGACGTTTCCGTAGATCTCTCTTACAATTTTGTAACCACATATCTACCTATACCTTTCCAGATGTGGGGTATAATACTGCGATATTGTGCGGGTAACGCAACGTCTCCTCGATAGTCAGACAATGATCAAGCCATTCCTTTTCCAGTCATCCTACTTTGAAGCTGCCCATAGGGCCCTACAACACAGATTGGATGTGTTCTTGGACTACAAATCCAAGAAGAATAGGACAAACAGATGCTGGAGTCATGGGAACAATGGCAGTGAATCACTTGTTTAATTCCTTAGTTGGAAGTTTATGTATGTATGTTTTACGATCACTATCGTCACAGGAATTTCACTACTGTCGCGATGCCAGACGCTTAGTACCCAGTTTGGTAGAAGATATTGCACAATGACAATTTCCTCGCAATGGGCTTCGTTTTATCACAGCAGGGCTCTAGGTTAGGCTTCTAGATGGACTTGAACCTGAGATTGTAGCAATGATTCATTTGGCTCTAGTCTCACTTCGATGTCTCCATTCAATTTATGGCTTCCTAGTTTGTGACGCGTGAGGTTTCCAGAGACCTAGTAGCACAAGGGACATCTTAAAAGACAAAATACTCAATTTTGAGGCCTCACACTATGTGTCGTATACAGATAGCTCTCGCCAAATCTCACTTTTCTCTTACCCACCGTCCAAACCATTCCCGAATTATTTTTCTTTCAATCTAACTTTACAACCATTAATGGGTTTCCATATAGATACTCTATCACTTGAATTGGTTCTATATCTATAAAGTTATAAAATATGTTGGTTTGCTGCCACCACTCCTAGAGAAATGTTAGACTTGACTAGGTAGTATATATCGCCCTTTTCCCTTGAAGAGAAATCGTATTTTCCTAATAGAAGCGCAGTGTCTCGATTGCTACTTACAATTTTCCCCGACTTTTTTGTCCTTTTCTTCCTTTACCCACTCAGCTAGGCATAGCTTACAAGACATGGCGTTATGCATCGGCTGTCGTCGGCCTCACAGATCAACGCAAGCTGCTTGTCGTCTGCCTTGATACTAGGTGTGTTAGGGCGCAAATCTCGCGAAATCGCTTGGCCTTCCTCTGCAGAAATGCACGCCGGACTTTTTTGTCTTTTTCTTCATTTAATCTTACTAATCAACCAAAATAGTATGAATGATCACTCGGCCTGTAACCGAGATTTACGACAAGACTATAAGCTAACTATGTCTTGGTTACTTTACAGGCTAGTAAGAAAATGAAATCCCCTAGCCGAATGGACGAGTCACCATCACCGTCTTCACAGTTAAGTCCGTTGAAACCATTGAATTCAGGTGTTTGGCGTCTGGTTGCCCAACAGGGGGCTCACGCAGACGTTGCTCGGCTTGCTGATTTCAGCTAATTTGCGGCTGCCAAGCAGGAATTGTGGGGAGCCGTTATCACAGACCCAGAACGAGAACGCTGAGTCAGCAGTAGCTGAAGGACCCAAAGGAAGACATACAAGGCCGCGTAAACGGCCGACTATTGCTGTGTTTTTATATTGTCAAAAACCAGATATACCGTGAACAGAAATGTATGTGAATTCGGGTAGGATAGAATTGACAGTCCACCCAGTGGAAGAAAGTAGTAAGATAGAAAGTAGAAAGGAAATGAAATCAGAAGCAGCGTCCAGTGCTTTTGATCTAGGATAAAGCCAGTAATCTTGGAAATCTGTTTCTGTACATCGTATCTGCCTGGTGCTATACATCGAAGTTCAGGCAGAGTACAAATCAGCAGCAAAAAAAAACCACACGTTCTCAACGCCTATGTTTCGGAGCGGATGTTTTGAGGACAAGATAAAACGACGAGTTTTCATCCCAAAGAAAAACGTTCATGGAGAACTGGGAAGAAAAGAACACCATAACTCCATTCCCCAAAATGACCCAGTGTGCCATGGAATCGAGGAGGAAAAAAATGTAATCCAAATTTAGCCAGAGAAGCGAAGAAAAGAGAAGGGTATCGCAGAGCGTAGAGGAGGTGTAAGGATCGTGCCAAGCATAATTGGCACGTAAAAGCCAAGAAATTTCATTAAACTGGGAGAAAGTTAGCAAGGTTAGGCGTTTAATCTTTGAGGCTACGTACAGTGAGTACCTCCAGGTGTCAGAGAGGAGGGGATCCCAGAGTCACGGGGGGGTGATGGTCGACGAGCAAAACGGGGTTCCACGTCCTCATAGTAATTAGCACCGGCGTTGTTTGATTGCAGGGGTTGCGCCGGTGGTCGTGGGGAGGTACGAGGATCATTTGCACCCCAGCCTGAGCGAGGAGGAACGTAGGAGCTAAATATAGAATGTTAGTGGTCAATTTAAGGAAATTTGCAAGATATTGACTTACCCAGGTCGGCTGTATAAGCTTGTGGGACTTTCGAGGGCGGTATTATTGTATTCAGCTGACAGCGTTTGCGGTACACTGCTCATTGGCTGAGTGGAATCGTGCATATCGTACTGCGGCCGTTGTTGCGGAGTCATCTCAATGGCTTGGCCTACCGTCTCCGGTGACATGGCCATGCCAATGGGCCCGGGAGATGGCTGGCGCATCTGACCCGGTGGCCCATAATTGTAAGGGTCATCCGTGGGAGGCGACGAGGGTCGACCGTAAGGGTCAAACCCACGATTGGGGCCACCTGGACCGGGGCCATAGCCACCGGGTGGTCCTCTAGGTGGCATCGCTCCACCGCGACCTCCACGGCCTGGCATTGGCCCCATGTAGCCACCCCTGGAGCCAGGGGAGGGACCGCGAGGTGGTCCCATGTAAGGTCCCCCGCGTCCACCCCGGGGTGGATATCCACCTCGCCCGCGTCCATTGAAGCCAGGTGGCGCTCCTCCTCTTCGAGAACCCATACTGTGATCGGAATATTGGGGTCGAATCCGCGGATCAGAGGGGTTCCGTGACATTGAACCAGCACCGTAGGGACCTGGTCCCTGAGGTGGGGTATTGCCAAATTCATCTTGCGGAGCGCGATAGGGCATGCCGTTGCCGCGATGGTCCGGGGGTGCTGGAACATCGCCCATAGGCGTCCGCGTGTTAAGAGGTGTTCGATCATCATCGCTGTCGCGTGCCTCTGTCGGGAATGATGCGAACGTTGGGCCCGAGTCGGAGTTGAGAGAATTGGACACAAAGGCTTCCTTGGGCTCGACAGGGGGTGGAACAGGTGCCGGAACGGCAGCCGCAGCGGCGTTCTGTCGGTTGTAATAGTTCTCCCCGCTCATCTCCGCATTTTCTGCGATCCGACGCTTCCTTGCCTTCCTACTCACGAGCGTTCGGCGCATGGCGCAGGTGACCACTCCACAAGAGGTAATGATGATGGTCGCAGCCAGGACAATCCAACCACCCCATCCTAGATGTGGCACAAATAGCAAGATATCGACGAGGAATGCGAGGAGAGTCACGAGTAATGTTGGTAGCAACAAGATGAGAAGTGCCAACAGGAAGCGCGGCGAGTGGGAGGGCGCATGGAAGTGGGCCGCGATAGCCAGGCAGAGGCAAATGAGGGTCAGGAAGGCGGCGACGGGATGGACGATGAGGATCGAGGAGAGTGACTTTCGAGTACCGGAAGGCAGATTGAAATCATCACCTGTGTTACTGATATCATCTGCTTGGAACTTAGCGAGGAGCAGAAATAAATGCAGGGGAAAGACTGACTGCTCGTGTAGCCCACATGGATATTGGTACAGGTATCACCCTTACAATATCCAAAGACACCATAATCCACATCTTTGAAAGTTGCTAGAGGAATTCCCCTAACAATAGGTGTTGAAAGACATGAGAGTAGCAAAAGCGCAAAGGCGATCAGCAGCAATATGGTGAGGGGCGTCGCGGGCTTGAGCAACATGGTGAGGGGAGGCCCTGGAAGTCAGACTTGTTTGTTTCCAGGCCAAAGAGGAAATCAGATAGGAAGAGTGATTATTTCTAATGGCCTAATGGCACACGCGACGCAGGAGTTGAGGTTAACACTGCATTGGCAGGGGAACATATGAACCCGTGATCAAACAAAAGCTTTCAAGGTAAACAAGTTGGGGGAAAAGGACAAGCAAATGAGGGGAAAAGCCAAGAATTTAAGAATCAAAGAAAATGTACGGAGTCAAGAATTAAAGAATAAAGGAATGACTAGAGCGTAGATAAGCCATGGGGGAATAATCTATCCATGGATGGATGGATGTTCGTGGAGGAGAGGTGTTTAGATACCTGGCCTCAGGCATAAGTCATATGATCCCACTCTATTTCTACGTCTTGCACTCTCTGTTATCTCCATTACTATATCATTTCCCATTGTATGAAGCTTTTTATCCTCTCTTGACCTCGTTTTTCACTCATTCTTTGAAAGTCTGAACGTGAGGCTAAGTAACACGCTTGCTGCACGGTTCCCCTCTCTAGAAGCCGGGGATGTTGGCGTTGAGCTTTTCCGTCTTCCTATTCGCTCTGCCCGTTTGTGGTGCCACTTTAGGACAAGTTGCCAAGCCCCGGCGTCGGAGTAATTGCGGACAGCGACTGGGACAATTTCGAGCTTCTTGATACACATCATCATTGGCTATGCCCCCTGGCTATTTTGCCAACTTTTGAATCCTAGTTTTTTCAAGGAAACAAGATATCTTTCTCTGCCGTGTTCGATTGGGTCATACTTTGGTTATCCAGTGAACGTTAAGCTCATTTCTGCTTTCGGATCAACGTCTTTAGAGGCCCAGGGGTATGTACATGGTTTCAGAAGCCTCATCTTGTTGATGATGAAACAAGATCTACGTTTCTGAAATGTATCCATATGGCATCCAGATATGATACATTGGTATGTATCCATCAATGAGCACACCCTTCAAACATCGCTCGCAATCTCGCCAGCCACCCTTTGATCCACTAACACGGCAGAGCACTTTCTGCTTTCAGTGCGGAATATTTCAGGAATTTGGCCCCAGAAAACGCTTGGACCTGAAATCCTGTCTCTTCTATCATCCAAGGCCCACAGTCCCACATCTTTTTAACATGAAACAGGTAGTCTCCACCTCAAAGCTCTAACCCGATCCTCAAACTTCATTCCATTTGCCAGAGACCTGATAAGGTTAATCGCCTTTGGTCATGACCAGCTGATGTTTTTCTGTTGGTGCAAGGTACCGCACAATCTTTCCTCCCAATGGCAGTCGATGTCTTCAAATCATTAAGCTCAAGGTTGTGACCTCATGGACCAATAGCTTCTTAGCAGGGTTTCACTACCGCGTCACAGTCAACAACCACTTACAACCCGGGCACACCACTACATCATTTGGGCCCCCAGGGATTGCTTGTTAGGATGAATGAAACTTATATCAACGATGATGCTTGACGCTGCTTTCTGGGTATAGAGCATGGAAGTCCTCCAGGCTATTCTCGATTCTGACAAACATTTCTTTGTATGGATTGATTTTTCAGGGGCCATAATGAATCGTACAATAGCTATGGGCACATGCTGTTACACATAGTAGTAGAGTTGCAAACCTCTTGGAGCCGGGCGCATGCATGTTCTGATCGGCAAACGCCATGAACGCCTTACTCATATTTCAAATGTGTGACTGACATATTTCCAACGGGGGCTGAAATATCATATGTCTGATATGTCAGCTTCTGTTCTTATATCTTCTTATATTAGTACAATCTTGGTCAATGTCTTGCTATTTCGGGGAAATTGAAGCTTCGTAGGTTGTACAGTGTCTGCGTAACCCATTGTGTGAATCAAGGCAAGGGACCGGCTAGTCAGGCATATAACTAGCTAGTAATCCCGGATGGGATGCGGTAATGAGAAACTTTGTCCAAACTTGGTCGAAGTCTTGAACCAACCGTAAGTTGAATCTCTCAAGACATCAAGAAGCAGGAGAGTGATCTAACAAACTACTCTAAAGTTTTTGTTTCTTGAAGATACTACGCAATAGTTTCTCTTTCCCTGTCGGAACATGCGCTGTCTGTGGAAGTTTTTCAGTTGGCCAAAACGACAGAAACACGACGGCGAGGAGGGTCAACAGCTGGAGACCTTTGATAGGATAACTCTGCTCCAGTCATTGCAGAGCTCTCGTCTCAGTGATGTCCAGGATAGTCGGCCAACACCCGGTTTTCAGGAGCGCTATGTTAGATTCGGAATTGGAGGTGCTGGAAATATGCGCAAGTCCTGCTTCCCTTTCCTGGATGTTCATCGGTTCTCAAGTCCGCTAAATTTGCCTCTTGCTGACATGACATGTATGAACAGGGTACTTTCCCATAATGGGCGAGAAATAAGATCTAGTTCACATTGAATTACCTTCGGGTTTGGCATTATATCGTACATAATAGAATGATAGATTCACATGAATTCAAGTCGCTGCGCATAGCATAGCTGATAGCCATATCGTATTTGTAACAACGAGAGATTGGACGTTTCCCTAGAGAACTTATTAGAGCACTACTAAGTCAGACTCCACCGAGCGGTGGAGCTGAGGCCCTCAAACACGAACAGTCTTCACGATAGCACGATAGGCGAGCTTACAATTGTCATATAGGTAAGAACGAGCACCTAAAGCTTTAAAATTACGTTGTAAGTCGGGGGCGATGCCACGACCCTCGCTAATAGAGACTCAAAGCACGCGAGGTGCTTCACAACGCAGTTCTAATAGGACCTGGTAGTACCAGAGGAATAGAATTGGCTTCAGTTGTGGAGCACAGTAATATTTTCGAACAAGACGCGAAGCATATAGTGTAGACACACTGTATTGAATGATGTAGAGCAGGGTGTGCGGTTTAGTCTTGTATTAGGGAATCAAACTTGTAAATCCTCGGTTAAACTTCGATTGTCTTCACTACCTTTGCCATAATGGGTCATATCACTAGGTACGGCACGACTCGATGGTATAACCTGAATGTCAAAATCCATTAATTGGATGGTAATAATCGATGTTAAGCTAACGTGAAGGAGGGAGTGTGGGCCTGTGAGTGTTCGGTAGCGGAAGTAGGCTTAGACAATTTAAGGGAGGCAGGGTCTTTAAATTTAGCCAGGGATATTCAGGTACTAAATAGATATATATGTAGCCATAGTGCTCTTCCATTTTAGTGCTAGCTTTTGATAGATATATGGATTGGTCGTGTGGAGAGAGGGGAAACGAGAAAAGTGATAGAAAATTGTTCAAGATGAAGGGCCGCTACTCCCATGAAGCTGTCTATCCATTGCTTCATGGAGACTACAAAACAATATGAAACCTGAAGATAGGTTATAAGCGGAACTTTTCTGGATTAGTCTGGGATTAGTATACGGCAAGCTTCAAACAGAAGTGCGGAAGCACATGTGGTTGTTGTGGAGCCAGACGATTTTCAAATCCAGTGCCTAACAAACGGACTGATTATGTATTTTATTCTCCCTAACTATCTCTCAACTTCTAAATCCCTTAGAATAGACTATTATATCGAACTCTATCCATGAGAGTTTCTGTCAGTTTACTAACCAAACTAGAAGCTAAAAAAAAGCTCATACTAATCATGACAGATATTTGTATCCCAAACTTTGTCTAATAAGACACAGTTCATGTGTTTCATAATACCCTAGATACAGCCTTATGTTTTCATGTGGTGTTTGGCAGACCGCGAAGCCCTAGTTCCAGCCACCTACCACCAGCAAGGGAGAAAAACAATTACAACACCACACTGCATCATTGAATTGGGGCCATTGACAAATCTTTGAACATACCCTGCTTTTTTATTGCTTTTAACAGCTATCTAGGATAGCAATTGTTGGCAATTATTGCCTGAATTCCGATGTGGAACTTGTACCCGGGATGCGAGGCAGAAGTTGACATTGTTAGATTGTAGTTCTAGGTAGTCTAGCATGTAGTTGAAGTGGTTACCCTGGGGATTGACATTGATCTAAAACATTGAAAGAGAAGATGGTTTGTTGTAAGACCTGGTGAGACCTGGGGGGAAAGGCCAAGCTTTAGGCTAGAGGTGTGGTGATGATCGGGCCGCGAAACAACTCAACCATATCCATGATTATTCCTCAAATTTTGATTCGATCTAATTTTGGGTATGATTTATCAAATTAATAGTGTCTGACTTGATAATCCCTACTTTAATTCATCCCTATTGGTTTGTTGAGTGCAAAGCTCGGTGTGGTGGCTGGGGAGGCTGGGAAACGTCACCCAGCACTATGACAGACAAAAGCCCGCTGGGCAGCGATTGCTGGTTTTCAAAAAATCCCTTCGCACCTCAAGGGCGTGAGGTCGATGAATGCTTCTGGATTAATTACTGTCGCGTGTGGGATCAATAGCCGCATTCCAGGCCCAGCATGTCGAACCCGTCGAGAAACTTCAGCCTGCGCAACGTTAATAGTACGTGCATATAAGAATCCCCTACCCGTCGCGTTCTCAATTACAGAAATTACACAGCTTTTGGGAGTCTCAAGTCAACTGACTCCTATATAGCGAGTAAACCGCAACTTGCCCGGACAGAATCTCAACAATCCGCAGCTGCATCAGACGACTACTATTCATTCTCAGATCAAGCTCCCTCTAGTCCTGATAGTCTAGCAACAATCATGCAATTCAGGACTGCAAACTCACACGTACCATCGCCCGCCATGTCGCAATTACAGCTTACGCAAGAAGATTCCGAGTCTCAACGTCCACCAACATCCAGCACAGTCCGGTTCGTAGAAGATAGACCGGCCAATGTTAGTCCCATATCCGACGCTACAAGATCAGACGGGACTGCTCGTCAATCTCCCAGTGATTACCCGGGCCCATCCACGACCCCAGGACTGGATGACTCCCCATACGTCCGGTTTGCAATCGACCAGATCACCCAGGACAGAACTCGGGGGATCCAAAGGACTGACTCTGTTTCCACCACGACGACAAGTGACTATCCAACTGATAGACTGGTATGGGACGAGGGACTCGGCTATTTCACCCGCACACGCACCCCAATTCGACATGACATACCTCCAACGAGACCATCGTATACATCTCCATCGCCACAGGCTTTACCGCAAAGGGCAATCTCAGTGGACCCCGAGTCATTTATTGCCGTTGATGCGCCGGAGCAGAGCTTGTTATATCCCCCTCTGGACTACTTGCCTCTTGTGCTGCGGCCGTGGGCTTTGGCAGTCATGATATTTTGCTGTCTGCTCATGATGGCGGGCATAGTGTTTTGCAATGTTTGGTCCCGTGGTGAGGAGGGACTATGGGACTACGCGCGTCAAGGTGGCTCGAGGTATTTTGTGCTTCAATTCCTACCACAGATTGCCGCCATTCCCATCATCATTTGGTCATTCGTCATTCAGGCTGCAATATATCGTATAGCACCTTTTGCCATGATGTCAGCAGAGCGACAGCAAGGTCTAGTAATGCACCGCCTACCCATCCTGTCAAAAAACTTCATTTTCCCGGACTTATCCCATCTCCAACACGGTGAGGCCTTGTTCGGAATATCTTTGTTCACAATTTGGCTTTCAAACTTCTTCGCCATTCCTCTCCTCAGCTGTCTCTTTCAGGCAAAGTACTACGTCATTGACGGACAAGGTGTCTGGAGATGGGCCTCAGTACAATCTGTGGGCTGGGCATTGGTGGCATTATATGGTTTTTTGACACTGGGCCTGGTGATGCTTTTTGTCCGTTTCGTTAGTGGCTGGTCTGGCTTGATGTGGGATCCCGTCAGCCTGGCAGATTTGGTCTCGATCACTCAGCGGTCAAATATCCTCCACGACTTTGAGCACTCTGAAATAGTCCCTTCGGTACGAGAATCGCTTGATCCCCGAATCCTTCGACTGGGCTACTGGAAACTCTCAAGCAAGGCCGAGATATTCTACGGAATCGGCGAAGTAGATGCTCCTGTGCGCACCCCATCTCTCCATCAGACCGGTAAAAGCCGAGAGAGTCAGCCAAATGGACTTGCCAAAGTTCGCTTTGATCTCGAGCACAACGGTGCATTCGCCAGTGACTCACAAGATAACCATCTATACTCGCCAACTGCCCGTTATCGCTGGACACCTTGGTTTCTCCGCAAAATCCCAGTATTTATTTGGATTATCATTGTCTTCGCCCTCTTCATCGCCTTCGTTGCTGTTAGCTTTATCAATGATGCCATCGAGGGCGGCTTCCCTCCCAAGCTTCCAACACTCCCATCGGCAGATGCATTCTCCTCCTCGAATTTCCTATACAGCTTCCTTCCCGCCCTAATTGGCAACGTCCTCTTCCTCGCCTGGCAACCCATCGACGTATACTTCCGAGCTCTCCAACCATATGCCGAGCTCTCATCTCCCAGTGGCGCATCTGCCCAAAAGAGCATTCTCCTCTCCTACCCATCTTCCTACCCAATCCAAGTCACCATCCAGGCCGTCATCAACCGCCACTTCAAAGTTGCATGGATCTCTGTCATGAGCCTGCTATCCATCGCCATCCCCGTTCTCGCCGGTGGCGTCTTCATCGCCCTCTGGTACTCCTCTCAGGACGAAATCCGTATTTCCGCCTTTCTGCCGGCGTTCTACGCTTTGATTGGCTTTTGTGGGCTATATGCCGTGTCTTTCCTGGCAATCTGGCCTGGCCGTCGTCGCTATCTCCCACACGATATCACCACTTTGGCGGATCTGATGAGCTATCTTTATCAGTCGCCTCTTCTGGCTGATAAGCTCCTTCGCGAGCCGAGGAGCAAGACTGACCTTGTCACTCGTCTTATTATTGCACCACCCTCCGAGCGTGACCTACCTATGTACGGCTTTGGCATTTATGTCGGTCGTGACGGTAAGGAACATCTTGGTATCGATCGCTTCCATCGGCCTGGTCGCACTGATATGCTTATTACCACGGGCACTATGAAATAATTTCCTTGATCAGTTTTTGGTTTGCATCTTCTGTGATGTTTTTATGATTTACATTTTTTATGAGCACAGTATGTTGATGATCGTTTAGAAGCCCGCTGAATTATGAACATATGAGAATGATTTTTGAAATGTTTTGCTGGTTTTCGGTTTGGGCTGTTGTTATTCTGACACTTGCATTCGAAGTCGGCGTTTTTGCTTACTTTATACACTTCGGATTCTCCCTAGGTCAGATGGATTGGAGTTTTGCTTTAGGCGATACATAGAAAATAATACTCAATGAGATATCCGAGTCGGCCGATGATCTAGCCCTAAAAACTCCGATTGTCATTCCGCCTCATGTATAAAGTATCCATTTGTTACTACTTTGTTACTACATAATAGTCTTGAATGGGGGTCTTGACCACAACGCGTTCAATTTCCACCAAAGTGATGTTGTTTTCACCAATGTGTTTCCGCCAAAGTGTTGTTGACCAAATTGTTGTTGTGTCAAGGCAGCCCCGGAGCCTTCGGTGAAAGCTGGTCACGTGCCAGGGATCTGCATTGTCTCCGCACGGATTTGCTTCATTCACGAGCACACCAGAACAAACCCCCCATACAGTGCTTTGAGTTGTTCTCGAAGAAAACTTGACCCAATCATCCTCTCCGTTTAGTCCTTTAACGCTCGGTCTTTCGTCATTTCTCATTTTCAGGCCCATTCAGCTCTGTCCTCGTATCCGCATTACAAACCACACGCTCCTCGTCCTCCCACACACCGCCCATAGCAATGGTCTCACTATTCGGATGGGGCTCAAGCCCAAAACCCGAGGTGATCCAGCCAACACCTCAAGAAAAACCGACAGCGGAAGAATCCGCACCCGCAGCACCACCAGCACAAACACAATTAGCACAACCGCCTTCTCCCCAAACAAACACAAACCTCAAACTGTTCTTCGGAGGAATGACCTTCTTCGCGCTCTCGGTATTAGTCACGCGCCGTGCGTTCCATAAGAAACGCATCTCGTGCATTCCGCCTTTCTACACAAGCTCGGTATATCACCAGCCGCACTCGAACTCGGCGGGCGATGCGTTTGAGGCTCTGAATCTTGCTACACTTAATGTGGTCTCGTTTGGGTTGATGGCCGGTGGTGCTGTTGGGTGGGCTTTGAATATTAATGGGCTTGAGGATATGCGGAGGTTTGTGCGGAATGGTTTGCAGGGTGGTAGCGATACGCCTGTGAAGAGTGATGAGGAACTTGAGCAGGAGGTGACGGAGTGGGTTGCCAAAATCTTGGGTGATAAGTTTGAGAAGCAGTTGGAAAAGGAGAAAATGAAGAGGGCGTTCCGGGAGGAGAAGGTTGTTCAGGATACGAAAGAGAACTGAACTGGATTGATTGAAGGACTTCGGTTTCAAAATACTTACTTACACATACCACTCACTATGTATACTCCACTCATGATTTGATACCAGCTGTACATTATGCATTTACTAGGCATGGCTTGCCGATTACAATGGAGAGACACCCGAACGGGTGCGAGCAAGATACATCATACAGGTTCATTGGTTATCATAATCTTACATTGAATCGGCCACTCAATCGTGGCCACGCACCGTGAATCAGATCCCCCCCTCACTCTCACCTCACTTCCTCCTCACATTCCACCCTTCTCCACCCCTTCCCCCGTAATCGTACATTCGACCGTCCTGAATTGATCAGGAACGGTCCCGGTCCATCTCCTCGTAGCGCTGGCGGGCGGCGTCCTTGGTCTTCTCCAGGAATTCTTCGTACCGACCCCTGGTGTTCCGACCAGCTTCCTCAGTTGCCTCCCCCAGTCGACTTCCTTGCGCACCCAGTCCCACGCCCTGGGCATAGATTTCAGTAGAAATCGGCTCCGTCACACCGGTTCCTTGAGCACCGAGGCCAGTTCCTTCCTGCCAGCCCATTCTGCTGAGAAGAGTAGCACCGATCGACGTGGTCTGCACAGGTGCTTCCTCTTGCTGAGGCTCAGTGGGTCGCTGGCGGACAGTTGAATCCTCACTTCCGAATGCCTGGCGCCGCTCCCTAGCTCGGTCTCTGTATTCCGGGGCCGATTCCGGGGTTGGCTGTGCAATACCGGCTTCTTTGAGCCGCTTCAGGGCATCCCTGATCTCCTCCGGCTTCTCAAGTTCTTTGAGGTGATGCTCGCTCATTCGGTCGTGTGAGAGAAGATATGCGGATGAAGGAAGTTTGCTAAAGCACAGGAGGCACCAGTTGCGGTTCATGTCTGCGAAGGAGCGTGGTGATGGGGGGATAGAATACTCTCGCTCAATCTTATCACGGTACTCGTCTTTGCTGCCTAGGTAGTTCGGAGTAGGTAGAGGGATGATACCACGGACCATCAACCAGCATACGCCGCGTTTCCTCGAAAAGAGATCCTTCAGGTTTTCCAAATGTGTTTCACTTTCGGCCTCATGTTCTATGAGCTTGTCCGGTGCATGAAGATATTGCATACACAAGAGGCAGGCATTCTCGTTCCAGTCCGCAAATGATGGAGCAGGTGAAGCAGCTGAGTCAGTCGCCGGAGCTGCGTTGGTCGCTGGGGCTGGATTGGTTGCCGGGGTTGGATTGGTTGCCGGGGTTGCTGAGCTCGAGCTCTCTGCGGGGTTTCCAGCAGCGTCTTGATTGATTCCATGTAGCTCAGCGTGGCGTGAACTCCAGAATTGCAGCTGGCTTGGCATTGCAAGTTTCTTGGTGCTTGCACTGGCTGGGGCGTCGGTCTTTCTCTTTTTTTCCTTTGTCGGAGTCCTTGGTACCCTTGGATTGGGTATCCGGGTTAGATCTTGTCTTGTTGGCTGCGAGGTCGTCTTCGGGGGTGGACAGCGTGAGTTCCTTCACGTATGCGGCATCATCCCAGTACATCAGCTTCAGCGACGGGTTGTTAGATGGGCTGAATGTGTAGAAGCCAGGACCGGATGAAGCGTTCATAACCGGAACAAACACTCCACCATGAATGTAGGTGACCAACACCGGCTTCGAGGAGATGGTGAATTTTTCAAAAGACTTGAGCCGCGCCATTGCAGCTTGTGCATCCTGGAGTATCGAATATTAGAGAGGGAAACATCAGAAAAAATATGAATGAAATAGACATACAGTGACTCCTGCGAATTCTGCGAATCCATAACGCCAGCTTGCATTTGTTATGCGATCACGTACAAGGAGCACGCGACGGAGAGAGCCTTCGCGCGCTCCCAAATTGCTGTCACCAGTCGTCGATGCCACCTTTGATCCTTTCTTCTGATTATCGGGGGCATTGTTATTGTTGCCGGAAGGCCGATACAGTTTAGAAACCCCTTTTGCAAGAAGTTCTTCTGTGACAGATGCCTCCAAACCACGGATCAGGAGGAACTGGGAAGGCTGGCTATCAGGAGCAACATCATTATCACCATCATTAGCTATCTTGGGAGCCGAGACTCCGGGGGGGCCAGTATCCATGTCTGCTTGGATGATTAGTGGTGGGAAGATGAGACAGGAAGATGACACGGGAATGAAACGGGAAGATGAGACGAGGAATGCGTGTGGGATGATGGGAATGGTAAAGATGATGGGAATGATGGGGGTGACGGAATGATTGGGGGGGGGGGATGATGAGGATGACGGGGTTATACGTACCGGGTCGTGGAGTACCGCACTTGAAACAAAATGAACGTGTAGAGAAGTTGAGAACGAGACACTGCCCATGTGATTGTGTAAGCACAGAACAATAGGTACGTGGGTAGCTCCCAGCTGGAGAGGCAGGTCCCCCGGGCCACTACGTTGACTTACATTTCTGCAGTTCCAGTCACTTGCACCTTTTGCACGGGGTCGGTCATCTCTCTCGCGGCTGTAAGCGATGCGGACTCGGGTTTGTTCGTTGCTGACGGGACCATAAAAGAGAATGAAAGGCTGGTAGCGTTCGACAAATGCGCGGGAGGCTTCAATGGTGGAAAATCGCAGGAACCCCAGTTGCCGCGACAACTCTGTGAACACAATATCTGATTAAAACGATGTACTTTCCTGAAGTCTGTTTGTCACTTCAACGTACTTGTCTGTCGGTCACGAATGACCCGAATATCTTCCAGGCCGGGGGCAACATAGCCACTGCGGAGTTCAGCTTCGATCTGTTGTTCATAAATGATCGTTGTCAGCATTTGTCCTCAGCAAGCAGCTATTCAAATGCCTGATTCTGGCAGTGATTACTCACATGGCCTTCTGTCATGTCCATTGGAAGTCCATCCATCATAACATCTCGGCTAACTTGAACCTGTCCCATATTGGACCGGCGACTTTGGCTTGGATCGCCGCTACCGCTTCGGTAGCCCTCTCGATCGCGGTCTCTGTACCTGTTTCTACCTCTATGAGGAGAGGTGTGCGAAGTATGATGGCGATAGTCATCTCGATCATTGCTTCGGTAGCCTTGACCAGATTCTCGGTCTCTCGAGTACTCGAATCTGGTATCGTCTGCTACTCTTCCAGGGGGCGAGCGTGCACGATCTCTACTCATCACTTCAAATTCAAATGAAATTAGCCACATTTCAATTTCACATGGAGGAGTTGGCTTTTGGCGACAAGCGGGCTTGTACCCCATTTACGTGCGGGGAGAAGCTTACCTGGCGAGCGAGATCGCGATCGATCATCATACATGCGACCATCGCGGTCATTGCGCGAAGGAAACGGTCTGCGACTTGAGCCTGATGCAAATTTATCATGCCTGTAATGAGGCGCCATGATTGATGAGCATTGAAAGAAAGAATCGAAGAGCAAGAAGATGTTTAACGAATGACCCAAGAACCCAAAACAATGGGATACATGGATCGAAGCTACGATAACGATAAGCTGCTCCGCCGGCTCGGGAGATCTATATTCCGAGACGATCCTTCCACCGGTTCTACGGGTTTTTCTCACTCACTCATGTGGTGGTTTTTTCAGGTGATGGTTTTTTCCAGGTGGTTTTTTTCAGGGGGGTCCAACGGAAACAAGGTTTCTTGCGACCTCCGAAATGATCAACTTCTCGGCTCTGGATTGCCAGCTTAAATCAATCACAAGGCCTCACTAAGCCATTCAATCGGTAGTACGGTGTGTACAAAGGACAGGGACTTAATCAGAGTTGATGACTACCTAGTGCCGGTTAGACTTGTGCCTAACCAGCACATTTACAAAAATTACTACTTAGGGGATCAGTGGACCCAAACGTAAGGTTTCTTTTATCATTTTTACTTCCATTTACTACACAACCACATAGTAAATAGTGTATACATAAATATAAAGTAGTAAACATGTCAATTAGCCAATTTACTTTTAATATACAAGAGAAAAAAAATCAATTCCCACTGCGTTTCTTGGCCCTTCCAAGCTTCCTAATTTCAATTAATATCTTCAAAAGTTCGTCCATTTGAGTCATGATTTCTTTTGATCGGCTTTTTTGCCCAATTTGTACTCTTTTTTTTCTCATTTCTTCGGCCTGACTGGTATTTCTCACTGTCGACAAAATTCTCGTCTATTGATTAATCTTCCGTGCTTTTTGTATGGTCTCACTGTCGACTAAATTTTCGTGTATTGTATGGTTCCTTACTGTCAAGTAGATGTTCGTCTGTTGCATAGTTCAACTACTACGCCCGTTAGATGCGATTCTCTGTTTTATTTCAAATTTGCTTGGTCTTACCCCGTCCTGACACACCGCTCTATATAACCATAGTGAAGCTATTCATACCCATATAAAGCGTGAAATCTGCCATTCTCTGGTAGACCTGGCAGTGACCATGCGGATCATCAAACAAGAAAAACAAGTCAACTTTACGATATGTACAAATAACTTTTATGTAAATAATTATGTATATCTGATCATATAAGCAGACCTATACACCCTAATTAGGCTTAGCGCTATAGATCTATGTATCGGAGGGTCGGGTGGAGGGAAAGGTCATGGACCACCTTCAGGGTCACTGCCAGGTCTATTCTGCGTTGAAGCTCTCTGATCGTCCGAATAAGTAATGGCTTTACAGGTTCAATTCCGAGATCATTCATATTCAATCTCATTGACCTATCCCCGACGGTATGAATGCCATCTTCGTCGATCTAGCCACTAAGAGAGGGGATGATTGCACAGTAGGAATGCTTCAACGCCCAGAACTAAGGGAATTATAGAATTGACATGCATAGATAGGTGTGAGTAGCGTCACATTAGTGCCCAGTTATTCTCCAAGGTGTTAATCTTATCGACCTTGGGGGAATTGCAGAGTATATTCCAAGGTTCACCTGGGCAAGTGGTTTGCTTACCAACGGCTGTTTTATCCATGGATAAATGGTAGGTAATTCAGGTATTCATTATTTTGTGCTCTTTAACTCAAGCATCCTGAGAAATCTTCAGGCACAAAAAACCGCATCTGACATGTGTCCGCTGTACAACTGTGTGGTCGACCCAGTGCGGGCAGGTTGGTCCGGTTCCAAATTCAATTAATGCGTCAGATTACAAGTGATCTAGGTAGAATAATATTCTTGGGTACCCCGTTCTTGACGACTACCGCAAAAAAAATTTTAAAAAAAAGGCCCTTCGCTTCTGCCCCTCACCTCTTTTGGGGTTAGGGGCGGAAGCGAAGGGCCCGTTAACTAGTACAAGGTACTTCTCGTCTGGACATTTCAGTTCACCATCATTCAGGGTACACATTTGCTCCAATACTCAGAGTCACAACTCAACGCATAGTGCCAAGAAGCCCTGAGCCGTCATCCTAACCAGAACATATTTCCTCTATGTGGGGGGCGATCCACAGATCGATGGCTTGTGATTCATTGCATGCGCCCAACCTGCATTCTAAAGGGTGGCTAACTCTTGGCAAAACCTCTCGGGCCGACATGCAGAGCACGGAGTATCAATAGTTGAGAGCACCGAGGATTCTCCGCATCTGCCCCGCGGTGGAATCAAACATGACGATTGGCCATGCTCCAAGTGTCCTTGCCAACACAGCTCTTATAGCAAATAGCATAAATATGTAGCTGATAGTACCCCAGAATCTTAAACTCTCTCTCATTCTCATTCTCCAAGTCGCCATCTGCTCAAAACCGACCGCCATGGCTACCCCAGGAAACTCTAAGCACCGTGCCTGGTGGAAAGAAAGCTCTGTATACCAGATCTGGCCTGCCTCCTTCAAGGATTCCAATAATGATGGTATCGGTGACATTCCCGGTATCATCTCCGAACTGGACTACATCAAAAACCTCGCTGTGGATATCGTTTGGTTGTGCCCATCATACAAATCACCGCAGGTCGATATGGGCTATGATATCTCCGATTACTATAGCATCGCCGATGAGTACGGCACAGTTGAAGATGTTGAGAAATTAATTTCTGGATGTCACGACCGCGGTCTGAAACTCCTGATGGATCTAGTCGTCAATCATACTAGTGATCAACACGAATGGTTCAAGCAGTCGCGCAGCTCCAAGGACAATGAGTACCGCAACTGGTATATCTGGAAGCCGGCCAAATATGATGAACAGGGAAACCGCCAGCCTCCCAACAATTGGGTTTCTCATTTCCAGGGTACGTGTTTTCTTTTCCTTTTTTGTCGATAAAATTCATCTAATATACATTTCTACGCCAGGGAGTGCCTGGCAATGGGACGAACACACCCAAGAGTATTATCTGCATCTATTTGCGGTCGAGCAACCCGACCTCAACTGGGAACACCCACCTGTCCGCAAGGCAGTGCATGATATCATGCGATTCTGGCTCAACAAGGGCTGCGACGGCTTCCGCATGGACGTTATCAATTTCATCAGCAAGGATCAGAAATTCCCTGATGGTCCTATCAATGATCCGAGAACCCCCTGGCAATCGGGTGATAAGTGGTATGCCAATGGCCCACGCTTGCATGAGTACCTCCAGGATCTTGGCAAGATTCTCATTGAATACGATGCCTTCAGCGTGGGTGAGATGCCATTCGTCAACGACGAGAATGAGGTACTCCGTGCGGTGCAGTTTGGTCGCAATGAGATCAACATGATCTTCAACTTTGCACATGTGGACATTGATCATGGCAAATTTGGAAAATTCGAACCTGGTAGCTGGAAACTCACTGATTTGAAGGACTTCTTTGAGCGATGGCAGACGTTCATGTATGAGAATGATGGATGGAACGCACTGTACTGGGAGAACCATGATCAACCCCGCTCCATTGACCGCTACACGAATGCTAGTGAGGAACATCGACTGGTAGCTTCCAAGATGTTGGCCACTGCCCTGGCATTGCAGGCTGGTACTCCGTTCGTTTACCAAGGACAAGAACTGGGAAGCAGGAATGTGCCCAAATCATGGGGCATTGAGGAATACAAAGACATTGATTGTCTCAACCACTGGAAGAAGTAATTGTACTCCCCTATCGTCCAACTTGTGAATGTTCGCTGACTATAGATATTTTATAGAATACCAAAAGAAGACACCGCGGCCCAGGCAATTGCGATGCAAGAATATCAGAAGAAGTCACGCGACAACGCCCGAACTCCAGTCCAGTGGTCAGCGGCTGAGAATGCCGGATTCACTGGACCTGGCGTTAAGCCCTGGATGTCTGTGAACACAGATTACGTGCGGATCAATGCCGAAGCGGAAATCAAGGACCCTAACTCAACATATCATTACTGGGCGACTGTGCTCAAATTGCGCAAGGAGTACCTTGACATCTTTGTGTATGGCAATTTCACACTTTTGGATAAGCCAAGCCAGAAGATCTTTGCGTACACTCGCCAGTATGGCGACCAGAAGATCTTGGTTGTGTGTCATTGGACAGACAAGACTCTGGAGTGGGATGCCGCGAGCAACGGTATCACTAGCGTGAAGCAGGTTTTGCTTAATACTTATGAAGGCGTTGAGTTGGCTTCCCAGCGATTCACCGGTGAACAGTGGGCACTTCGGCCATTTGAGGCTGTTGTATTGCTCGTCTGATGTATATATGAGATGTGTGGTTGATACAAAGCCACTTCCATACATTGTACTTGATTTTTTTACTACCAGGCACAAAACGAGAACAAAGCGAGAACACCGTGCAATAAAATCCGAATCGTAGAACCACCACAATTCAAAGTCCCCAACGCTGTCAACCCCCACTGCTCTCCGCATATCGGGGCTCTTATCCACCGATCCCCGCAGTAGATAAGCATCGAGGGGAAGAACCTTGGAAGTCACAACCTCAACAATGTTTCAATATTGAAAGAACCAAATTCCACCAGCATCGTTGATCCCCCAAACTCAATCCCAAAATGCCCTCCCAAGACACAACCGCGCTCCCCGCGCATCTCGACCCGAAAACTTACCCACGCACGCACCACGATCCAAAGCAAAACATCCACTTAACCCTAACCTACACCCCTCTGGACGCAAACACCTATTTATCACAAACCTCCTCGCCCGCCGCCGGCGCCAATGTCCTATTCCTCGGCACGACGCGGGATACCTTTGAAGGACGCTCGGTCTCTCAGCTCAGTTACACGGCATACCCGCCTCTTGCGCTGAAGACACTAGCGGGGATTGCCGAGGCGGCGGTTAAAACGCATAAGCTTGAGGGCGTGAGTATTGCGCACAGATTGGGGATTGTGCCCATTGGAGAAGCTTCTATTGCTATTGCTGTTAGTGCGGGACATCGGGGGGCGGCGTGGAGGGCGGGCGAGGAGGTGCTTGAGGCTTGTAAGGAGAAGGCGGAAATCTGGAAGAGAGAGGAATTTGTTGATGGGGGAATGGAGTGGAGGGCTAATGCGGATCGGGATGCTGAGGGGAGAATTTTGGGGAAGGAGATTTAGGGATATAGTGTGGTTTGGGGAACTTGGTTGGTTCGTCTGGTTTGTACATTGTGGTTAATGCTGATGGCTTCTTTTACAGGTCTCATTGGAACAGAATTGTTTCCATGGGGGGAGGGATCTGGGAGGAGGGGGGTTTTTCGATCACGTTTGACGAGAACATAAAAGAGTACGAGCACGAGCACAACAAAAAGAGCACAACAAAAAGAGCACAACAAAAAGAGCACAACAAAAAGAGCACAACAAAAAGAGCATCTGGAATATGATTCCGGCGAGAGTAGGGTATTCAGATATTCGAATGACTATATTGTACAATTTCCATACATACACCTGGCGCAAGATTCTTACTCGGTCTTTAGGGGCCTTCCTTCCCTCTTCCAGTCATTGATGTGCTCCAGGATCACCTTGGATGCAGACTCGGGGGTATCCTGGCGGCCGATACACTCGACGAAGTCATTGTCGGGATCTATGATGAACGGTTAGTTAGCATACTGAAACTAGATCTCCAAGCTATATCCCCACTCACCCATCAGGTAGAAGTAGATACTGTGGTCCACAAGGTAGTCCTCGCCGGGCTTCACATCCTTGGGAGTACTGAAGTACACACGGTACTGCTTGCAGACGTGTCTGACCTGCTCGTAGGTGCCAGTGAGGCCGACGATGCCAGTGTGGAACTCCTTCAAGTACTCGCGCAGAACCTCGGGAGTGTCACGGACAGGGTCGCAAGTAATGAAAACAGGCATGAAGAGCTTCTCGTCTCCGGTAGCAGCCTTGACCTTCTCAATGATCTCGGCCATCTTGTCCAGTTCATCGGGGCAGATATCGGGGCAGTGAGTGAAGCCAAAGTAGACCTAAAGTAACCAAGGATTGTGTCAGCAACCATCCATTCAACCCATTTCATATACACTGATGATCTTCTGTTCCATTGTCCGGGTAACTCACGAAGCTGTATTTGCCCTTAAGGTCCTCCGCCGTAAACTCCTTCCCATCAAGATCCTTTAACACGAACGGACCGCCAACCTTCGGCTTACCAACACCCTTGCTCATCTCCGTCATGCGCTTGCGCTCAAGACGAGCCTTCTCGACACGGAAGTAGAGCATCATACCGGCGCCAGTCAGCACAAAGAGCAATGCGGCCTTCCACGAGAATGGGCCGGTCGTGTTTCGCTGGCGCATCTGGCCCATTGTCTTAGGGCCTTCTCGAAAGGCGGAGGTTGAGAAGTTTTTCTGTGTGGAGAGCATCGTTCGCATGCCCTGGTCGCATCGTGGACGCCGTGCTTCGGTGTAGGTGCGGCATGACGCGGTGTTGTTTCGGAAGAGAGGGAGGATGCGTTGTGTCGGGGCGGTTTCAATGGCGATATTGCGGGTAGCCCGGGTTAAGAGCCCGCTTGCCAATCTCATGGGGGAAGGCATTTTGATTGTTGTGTAGCTGTTGGGGAGATCTTGGAGGGATGGGTGATTATCAATTGCCAACTCCGGGCGGAGTTCGAGAATCTCCAGATCGACAGCTCAATTAAGTTTAGGGTGTATGCCTTAGGCGCCAATTACTCTATGTTTTGCTTCCTCCAATTGCATATATAGGTACAGAGTACGGAGTACGGAGTAGTATACGACATAATTGTGTTTATTCCTAAATAAAAATGACCTTGACCTTGACGCCCTTGACGCCCTTGACCTTGATCTCCACCCACTCCACTAAACAGCAAAAAAAAAAAGAACCGACGGCTGCATGATTCGAACATGCGCCCGCGAACGGAATTGATTTCTAGCTGTTTGAATTGTTAGTGAGAGTTGGTGGAATATTGTTTAAAGAGAAACGTACTCAATCGCCTTAGACCACTCGGCCAAACCGCCTTTTTTAGTTATGATTCTTGCCGTTTCTAAAATTACATACCAGAGGCTGGTGGTACAAAAGGGGTACTAAAATTACAACATCGGGATCAATGTAGTGTCAGTGGAGTGCCTTCAGCGGAGTGCGCGTTTCCTTCAGGGGAGTGTGCCTTTCCTTCATGGAGTGCGCGTTTCCTTCAGGGGAGTGCGCCTTCAGGGCCTTTCGAGCCTTCCGCGCCTTTAGAGCCTTCCGCGTCTTGAGCTTTCCGCGTCTTGAATCTGTTCTTGAGACTGAGCCTGGGAGCCCGTCCTTGCGCCTGTTCTTGAGTCCGTGAGCCTGGGAGCTCGTTCGAGAGAGCCCGTTCGAGAGCCTCTTCGAGAGCCTTCCGCGCCTTCAGCAGAATTCTCCTTTAACGTAGTAAGGTTACGAGTGTTTATCAGATCTTACATATCCTCTTCTCACGGCGCGGTACCAATGATCGTGTTTTTGCTGGTTGAAAACTATCAACGACCTCCTTCAAGTGGGCCCCTGGGCACGCTTGGGAATTTTTGAAACAATACTTCCTTAACTCCTTCACTCTTGAGTGATCGAGTTCAATATAATATTTGTATGAATCCTCAAGTATCATGAGTCTTTTCCCTACTTGTTACCCATGCTGGTGGCTCTTAGAGAAGAGATGGGGTACCTTTAGACAATTGTACGGAGTATGTACATGGTTAGCTTGTTTCTGGGTTGCGCCCCCTTTCGTTCCCACCTCCTGTTCCTACCCCCTCCCCTTTCCCCCTCCGCCCCACCCCGCCCCGCTCCGCTCCGAAGGCCTCAGTGCTCGGAACTGATTCATTACGCTCTCCTGAGTTCCGCTGAGGGGTGTCACAATATTTAAGGGAGACGATATCCGACACTCACATGTTTGGTGCAGGCTAGTGGTTCTCGGGTGCAGATCTCCGAATTGTATAGGTGGGAAAACGGAGCAAAGTCTGGCTGATTCTAAAGGCTGCTGAATTCTCTCGAAACTGACAGGTTATATATGTCAGTTCTACACTCCACTCCGTTCTGAATTTTCAGCCAGTTGTTACTAGAGATATCTAGGAACATCCAAGGACACTTGGAAAGAGATTGAAAAGGCAAATTGTAGTAGTATTTTAATAAGTGGAACATTTCAAACATCATCATCTAAAAAACTAGGTATTCACTGAAAGACCAAAGGCTAGTAGGAAACCAGTAACAAGGCTACAGAATATGCAGCACATTTTTCATAACGGACTCTATCAACCTCCATCCAATGAGAAACAGAACAGATGATGAATAACAAGCTATCCAGCCATTCGTCTGTATCACATCGGGGATGAAATCCCATTATCGAGTGCTACTTTGTAGCCCCTCAAATATCGTTGGGGAAAACATGGGGGTTCTGGAGAGACTTGGTGGTAGTGCGCTTCTTCGTGCCAATGAGGTGGTCGAAGGAAGGCGAGTGAGAGACACGAGGACCCATATCCTCAATGTCCCAAAGGTAACCGAGGGTCTTGAGAACAGAGGTAGCACTGTAGACGGAGGTCTCGCCGGTGGCGGGGTTGACACCCTTGCCCTCGACGTAACCCTTAGGGGCCCAGGGGGACATCAACCAGGTAGGCATACGGGCACCGAGACGATCGAAGGTGAAGGTGTACTGCTTTCCGTCGTAGCCCTTCTCAGTGTAGGTCTTGTTATCGGTGCGCACAGCAAGCGGGGGGGGAACGTGGTCGTAGAAACCACCAGTCTCATCGAAAGTGACGAGGATAAGGGTCTTGTCCCACTGGGGACCGGTGCGGACAGAATCGTAGATCTGCTTCAGGAGGACCTCACCGTAGGAGATGTTTCCGGAGGGGTGCATGGAGTTGGTGTTGGCACCGCAGCAAGAGGGGTTGATGTAGGACAGCTGGGGAAGGACACCGAGGTAGGCATCCTGGTAGAAGTTCTCGAGGGGAACGACGTTGCTCTTGGCGTTTTTGGCGGTCCAGTTGAAGAACAGGGCATCGGGGAGGAAGGCGCCGTTAGTGCCGTCGTAGTTCAACCAAGAGATACCCTTCTCGGAGGCAGCCTGGAAGATGCTGTTGGTGGGGATGGCGGAGACATCGAAGTCAGCATCGTTCTTTCCGTGGCCATCGGTGACACCAGCGACCGAGCAGAGACGGTTGGGGTTGGTGGGCTGGTTGATATGTCAGTTTGATGGTCTTTGGGTTTGCATGGGGGATGGTACTTACACCGGGCACACAGGAGAACCAGTCGTTGAAGGTGGTGAACTCATCAACCATGTCAACAATGGTGGGGACCTGACTCTCAGTGTAGAAGCCCATGACCTCATCAGCAGCGCGCTGGGCGGAGATCTTGGGGTAGCGGAGCATGTGGCGCTGGATGAAGCCCGACATGTTGGGGGTCAAAGTGCCGTTGGCAATGGCCTCGTTGTCAGGGCTGTATTCACCATAGAGCTGGAAGTTGATACCAGTGAGACTGTGATCGGGATCGTTGAGAACGGAGTCGTAGTTCTTCTTGGAGGTGGACCAATTCTTGCTCTTGGGGTTGGTGATATCCTCCAAGTTGTAGAAAGGACCGTTGTTGATGGGGTTGTCGAGACCCTTCTTCTTGATACCACCGAGAATGTTATCAAAACCACGGTTCTCGAGGAGAATCCAGACAACGTTCTCAATCTTGTCCTTCATGTTGGCAATGGACTCCTTGGAGCCGGCCTTGTAGCCCCAGGGGCCGTTGGTGGTGGGCTTGCTCTTCTCCACAGCAGCGCCCATGGCGGCACTGGAGAGGCCGAGCAAGGAAATGAGAGCGGTAGTCTTCATTGTGCCGGAGAGTGAGGTAGAGAGAGTTGGACTGGTCTGAGTACGAAGATCATTTCCCCGGCCGTTGCAAGGCTTTTATATCTCTTTCCATGCATAAAAACGTGCAGTAGTAGAGAGGGTTGGCGATTTAGGAATGCATAGGTTGGATTCAGATGCCATAGCAAATGAAAAGCCGCCGTTTCTGGCACATGTTCACTCTGTGGGCTTTCAGCGGCCGATCAACGGCCTATCGATAGTACGCCAGGGTGCCGAGCAAAACCTGGGTGGGATGGGGGTGGGGATGAAAGAGCTCGGATGCTACCGGACCAGCGACTTCCAGTATCGCAGTTGATAATACTCATGCTGAGATTGGATGTAATAACAAAAGATGGCTTAGATGGCTTGAAGGGCTTAGGGTGCTTGGATAGCATGGAAGTATGAGTGGAGTCGCATAGAACCCGCCATGCAGAACTTCTCATAGTTAGCCCCGCAGGTACACCAATCATATCATTCGCCAATGCACTTTAATATTTGCCAAGTCACCAATCACGCCCCTTTCCTTTCGCATGCTTTCGGATTCCGATGACTTTGAAGACGGTGTGCCCCTCCACATATCCCAACTGTCCACTACCGCCCACTATCTCGGATTCCCAACTAGCTCAATACGCTATGTCCCGCACCCTAAACCGTTCTAAACCGGAAATTAACGGCGTAGTGAAACAGTTAACATCGCACGTGGCCTAGGGAAGAATAACCGTGGTCGAATAGCAACGATCGAAATTAAAGAGGTGAAAATCTTGGAAGACACATAGTGGAGAGCTTATCTCGAACGAGCCTATCCTCTACTTAGATCAAACCCCGAGAACCGAAGTATTCGTCCAACCCCTCACTAGAAGGTCCCTCGAAAATGCCTGCAATATATTGATCAGGTCGTAGCAAATAAACGACATCCTTGACCAATCCGGCGGTGTTGTATTTCTCGTGCCACTGGAAGACAAAAACCTTGACACCCATGTTTTGGGCCCACTCTTCAAATTGCGATTGGGATTCCCCATAGATATGGAGTTGCCAACAAATGTCTGTCAGGGTCGAAAAATTGTCCACCTGATTGATTTCAACCCATGGCAGACGATCGCCAGCCTGCACGGTCCCTTTGCCAGTCTGGGAAAGACTGCTACCCCTGTAGTTACAAATGAGCTGAGAAGCACCCCGGAATATTCTAGTCCGGGCGAAATCGAATTTCAAAAAGACGGGCACAAGGTATGGAATCAGCCAGTTTCGAAGAATGTATGGGAAGAATCCATTCGATGTCAATGTCGTAAATCCTGTGTCGGTGGACTTGACTATCATCATAGCGAATGAGCGGCGTTCCGACTCATATGATTCCAACAGTCGGTGTTTTGCTTCTTCCGTCATGTTTGTCTGTTTGATGACCGTTGCCAGCTTCCACGCTAAATTGATCGAATCCATAATTCCGGTATTCATTCCCTGCCCACCCACTGGGCTGTGGATGTGAGCCGCATCCCCAACAAGAAACACTCGATTGCTGCGGAATTTATCGGCCACACGGTGGTGACTACGGTAAGTGGAGAACCAGTTGACCTTTTTGATGTCGATATCCATCGCTTGCATAATTCTAGGTCGAATGTGCTCGAATGTGATCTGGGGCTTATGCTCTGACGATTCACTGTTGCCATCGTCACCCTTATCTGGGGTGATAATACCAACCAATCGCGCATGCCCTTCTTTATTGTAGGGGACTACCAGGTTGAAAGTATCGTTCGTGAACACCAGGTTTCCCTCACCGTTGAAGAGCTTGTCGCTTTTGCCATCAATGTCGGCGATGTAGAAGAGCGGCTTGTATGTTTCGCCCTCGTATCTGGCACCAATCCCATGGCGAACAGCCGAATGTACTCCATCACAGCCAACGATGTACGACGCCTCATGTGTGGTCGAGGTCCCATCAATCTCGCGGAACAGGGTAGCAGTGATGCTTGATCCATGGTCCACAAAGCCTTGCAACTTGGACCCTCGTTCCACATGGATGCCGACGTCATTTAGTCGCTTTTCTAGCATTCTTTCGTGGTCGTCTTGTGGTATGCTTAGAATAAACGGATACGGAGTCAGCGCGCGGCCGAAGTCTCGTAGTGCAACGCGTGCTTTGTGCTGTGTGTGAATCCAAAGATTTGTCGCAGGCAGCTGGTACCCGAGTTCTAGCAAAGCATCAGCTAACCCAAGCTGCCGATACAGCTCGACTATACGGGCATGAACAACTATCGCTCGGGAGTCTTTCGCCGGGCCCTCTGCCTGGTCAAAAATGTGGACGTTGACGCCTTGATGTTGAAGCCACAGGGCAAGGACGAGGCCAGTTGGGCCTGCGCCGACAATGAGGACATCCGTTTTAGGTTTCATCTTTGGAATCACCTTCGGATGGTATGCAGGTTCAATTAATGTATCAATAAAATAATATCGTGATCAAGAGAAGATTCCAGGTAAAAAGTTTGATGGTCATATATACAAACTTAGCATTGTGCGGAACCGACTTTAAATAAAAATTTGATGCTGATACCATCGCCTTGTCAAAAGAAATACACTCCCAAAAAGCAAGGTCGATCATCACTGCTCGGCTGTCTAGTCGCCGACCCCGAGCATGTGGAAGCCAAGACATCTATACGAGATCGGAGTGTCGCGTGCCGATCGGCGCGAAACTCTTCAATGCATCGGTGTTCGGGTTTACTTGGATTTCGAACCCGATAATTGCTGTCATACTTCTTGAAAGCTTCTCTACAAAACGTAATGTGAGCAAATTTTGAGCAATCCACAGCGTTGGTAATCATGCTTAGGTCAAAATATATATTGCTCAAGTCAAGATATATATGTTGTATCATCTGTAAAAGATCCTTGGAAGTGACTGAGAAGATTGTCCCATTCATTCCAATCCTTCGGGCTATCACCAAGCAAGAGACCAAAGTTTTCAGCCTCCAGTCCTGATTGTGAACTAGAACAGTCCCGACTAACTTGATCTTGTGGCCTAGCACCATGCTCGGTGTCTAGGACGTTTTCATCTACCTGCTGCGAACTAGAATTGCCTCCCGTTTTGGCTAGCAAGGATGCAACAATGGTTGGACAGGGCGTTGGTGTGTGATGGTTGAGGTTACACTCTTCAATATACGTCCGCCAGGCCTTGACAATCAAATTTTGGATGGCCATGTGAAGAGGCGTTGGGTCATTCTTGCTCATCGCCTTGATATGCCCATAATACACATTTCCAATCAATTGCCAGACTTTGCTCTTCTCTTCGGCCTCAGTCCGATGCCGCATCTCCGAGAGCATGAATATTATGGCGTCCCATGGCATATGATTCACCATGTGCCACGAGAATCCCCGTACTACTGGATTGTTTTGGGCGTGGTCAGCATACTCTGTCATCTTGAGGGAATTCTCGAAGATGACGTTTTTCTCTGCCTGGGAGATGCTAGTGTTGGGATCCTGGTATTGACGAGGATGGTGTGCCATCAACCGGGTATAATATATAGCCGAACGAGCCATCATTGTCGTTGCCATATGTAGCGGGATGGATTTATCGCAGTGCCGGAGAAACTTATCTTCCATGTGTGCTTCTAGTTCATCAATTGTCTTGTCCCTGTCCTCTAAGGAAATTGATGATGATGGCAAGAAGGCCCATGGTCCAGCATTAGAACTCTCAACCTGGTTTGATAAACGAAGAAGCCATTTTCCAAACGCGCTCCGAGTGAGAACAAACATCATTTCTGTCGGACCTGGCTTCTCGCAGGCTGGCTCGGTCATACGAGGATCGAGATCGCTATCATTAGCGTTCATTGGTGGCTGCACGTCGATTGTGGCTGGGAGAGGCGTTGATGCTACACCACAGAACTGTGCAGATGTGGCATCTATGATCATGAGCTGGAACCAGATCCGACGGCGCATCTCAGTTTCGAATACTGAGAGTCCGTGAGCGGACCCGTCACGGTGGATCCCAATTCGTTGCGCGATTCTTACTGCAATGCCACATAATGTCCAGATAGTATGTGGGTCAGAGAACGAACGCATGCAGAGCTACCAAAACATTGTTAAAGGGGATTAGATCTCGTCGAAGGAAGGTGAACACACTAGGTATAGCATAAATGCCTGGAGAACCACTGAGCTTGATGTACGAAGAAGCGATGCATTCTTGAAAGCCAGTTGGGCTCCCCGTCTGCACCTTGATAGGAGTGCTGTCTTGCTTTCCCCAAATGACTTTTCGACATCTTCTGCTTGCAAGGAAACCAATGCTATGCAGTATATTGCGAACATCAATGCTTCGACCTCTCGGCCTACTTTTGGTAGATTACTCATGGCGTCCAAAATTTGTTGCTGTACAGTTGGAGCATGTATAATTTTGGTGAGTGGGTTCACATTCTCGAGAAATGCCTGCCACAACTTGAAGATATTCAGGGGACTCGGGTGGAGCTCGGTAAGAACGTCTCTTGTTGCAGATGTCGAGAGTATCGCATAGTCGTCGCTCACATCCTGAGCAAAGTTATCGGTGTCATTATCCGATTCATCACCTAATACGTCTGCTGCATTCGGGAGCTAGCAAAGGTCAGAATCCACAGTATTTTGTACGCGGAAGTCAAAAAACACTAACCTCATTGCTGACTCTTGTCCAAAGATTGCTGATGTGCACGTCAGCAATCTGGCATTAGGCTAATTGCAGCGCAAGTAACTCACTTGTCAAGATAGATGGAGTTGCCACCTTTCATGATCATCCTCCCAGATCCACTTTTCCCTGTTTTAGTCCGGTGCTCTGCCCCAGCATTTTGATGCTGAGTGGCAGAGAGATTTTCTCCCGTGCTGCCTCTAAGATATTTCCCGCGTTCTTGAGAGATACTCCCATTGGTTTCTCGATCCCTTTTGCGACGAGGCGGTGGTGGGGCACGGTACATGCACTCCACATTCGCCTTCGCGCAATTTGAACAGGGGATAGAGGAATCTTGCCTATCACATTTGACCTTCCGGTTGTGACAGACCACGCATGCAGATGATGCGGGTTGTTTTGATGGCGAGTCTGTTGTTCGCCGACCACTCAAGGGGCTATTTAGACTAGCCATTGCTGTAGCACACTCTTTAGGAAACAATCCAGCTAACTAGGCATGAATGACTAGCATGCTTAAGAAATCTGATCTCTAGTATTGAAGAGAAAATACGGATACTTCCATTGTCGAATACTAAGTTGGAATACTCGTTTGCCGAAAACATCATGTGACACCCAATAGTCGGCAAAAGTCCACGGGTGTACAAACCTTGGTTGGAAGTAGGTACCTGTGGACCTATGGATGTATAGTACAATTAGTCATCGATGTCCGTACAGATTGTTGGAACAGAGGATTTTGTCAATTTAGTTATGCATATTCATTGATCTTACCATACAAAGTACATTGCCGTACACCCTAATTTCTGTCATCCATTGTGATCGGGAAGGTGTCAAGATAAGTACATGCCTTGTACATAAGGTATCAAGATAAGGCATTAACTCCACCGACATCATCCGTTGTTTCAAACTCTGTTGTTTAATTTCAGGCTCACATTTCTTAGGTAAAATCCCACATCTTCGTTCAAAGTGTCAGAATTTGCTTGTGAAATGCTCTATTTGGTCCCATCGCTGCGTTTCTACAGTCTGGGCACACTCAAATGGCAGCCGGAGCCTTCCATCTGAGTTTTTATCATTCATCTATCTTATTTACGAGTTATTTCAAGTCAAAGATTCCAAAGGCCCATGCATATTTTGGATGATTCATCAAAGGTATGAGCCATGACGCATTTTCTCACTCGTGTCCGAATGGTCCTTCGGGGAGGTAAACGGGACTCAATGTCGGCCGTGCCTAAATATTCGGGATTGAAGCAACTCCCATCTCATGTTTTCGCTACGATCCTGGCCTCCTGTGATCTGAAGGATATTGGTTCTTTGTCTCTTTGCTGTCGAGCACTTCATGACCGGATTTCAAGGCTGGAATTTGCCATAGCATGGGCATATATTCAACTCCGAAAAAATATGCATCCTCAAAGCCCTTGCATTAATGGCACCCTGTCGCCCGGTGATGACCTTTCCTTCATTTCCGAGCTATTCCCTCCTCCGCCTCCTGAGTATAGCACAGGTGTGGCTCATGAAAACGCAGGATATTCCCTGGGATATCTCGGTGATTTAAAACGATGCTGGAATACTTGCATTCGGCTCTCCCACCACCTAGCTGATCATGTGGTTCGGCATCATCTGGAGACTGATGCAATTGCCCAGCCTTTGTGGTCATCTTCCAAGTTGAAGAAAGAATTCAAGACCGAGAAAGAAGTTATCTCTGAGAAGGAGGTTGTCTATAGCAAAGCCATGGCTTCGCTCCAGGCCAAGCTTTTGTATCCAATGTATGGCCCCACTATATCATTTTTCTTGGAAGCGTACTTACTCGAATATAGAGCCTATGCTGTTTTCTTCTTGGAATCATCCGCATCTCCTGATTCTGACTCGGATCATTCGGATCATCACCACAAAAATATTGTTGATTCTGTCGAAAGACAGAAATCAATTCTTAGAAATGCGCCTTTTGACGATACGCATATATTTCTGTCGACCCACCACTGCATGCAGCTACTATTTTCCACGGTCCAACGTTTGATGGGCCCGGAAATTCCCCATTCCACCGCCGAAAGTTGGATTAGTCTCCTTCTCACCACTTCAACCATGGAGAGAATCGTCAGTTTCTTTGTTTCCATCGCGAAGGATGACCAAAAAAAGCAAAAGGGCAAGCATGACTCTACGTGGTCTCATAGAAAGGAGTTTCTATGGGCGATGCGACGAGATCTGAACGAGTATATGGCGTCTTTCAGTGAGCATGGCGAACAAACATCCCTCGAGCCGAAGCTTAATCATGTATGGTTCCAAGCGGCATGCAGTGAAATGGATCGACGAGGGGCTATTCCACATACTGTTGAGGATACAGAAGTGCATGTTCTCCATGGGTCTGTTGTGAAATTGGAATGTGAATACTGTTATGACTGTTACGACGAATGATAGCCTAGTGAAACTTTTGGGCAAGAAGTTGTAATTTATTGACAACGCATCAATCATGTTATTTTCGAATAAACCTTTAACACCAATAGTAAACGAAACGTCACTCAATAACCTTGCCTTGTATATATATAAGACCCCGCGCTAAACCGCTTTCGCTCGGTTCCCGGCAGTTCGGATGCCGAGCACGGGACATCCCCAGACTTCAACCAGACTCCGACCTCGCTCTTCCTGGAGTATTTGGTTTAACATGCTTTGATTCCGAAATTCCGTTAAAATTGCCGAAGCCAAGATGTCTGCGGTAAGTTTGCCAGAATATTGGCATTGCGATAGGTATACGCGGTTTATAAAATATGCTAATCAGGTATCAGTGCGATCTATGTCATAGTCGGAAGGTAGAATCAGTCGTTTCTCGCATTTGACCCTTTAATACCCCGATTCTCATCTGGAGTCACTGCATACGTAGGTGAAATGCGATCGCCAGGACCCTTGCATGAACTGCACCGACGCAGGCGTAGAATGTCTCCGCAAACGCCAAGCACGAGTACATAGACCCCGGGTTTCTCGGTATGTGTAATTCGCAATGCTTGTCTAAAGAATAAAAAGCTGATGTTTCCAAGACTAGAAACATTGAACCAAAGATTGGCGAGGCTAGAAGAGTCAACCAATAAAGAGACAAGATACTTTCCAGCAAGTCATCAAGCTGCCAGCAGCACAACTTCGTCGCCTTCAGCCAACTTTACAAGTATTATCGAAGTGCCCAATGACAAACAGAAGCGACCTCGAGCATATGACCCACACGGTGCAGATCCACTACAGCCACCACCAAGTAAACACCACAAGTCTCAGACTGTGGCGCATCAAAATGTTCACCAGACACATTCTCCTAGCTCAACACATCATGCTAGTGAGGCCAAAGAGTACATTGAGCATGAACTCAAATGCAATCAGGCTCTGTCAAAAGATAGACGCACTGCGCTTGAATCAGCGCTCAAGTTCGTCAGCCAGCTGTCCAATCCGGCTCTACACTGGGAGGAGGCTGCGGTTGTAGATGACATGGATGTTCAAGAAAACCTTCCACCTCCTACTCTCACACCGGAACTACTCTACATGATGCTACCTGGTAAGTTACCAAGAATGTGTTAGACGTCAAATATGCTGATCGGTATAGGACCTGATAAGAAAACAAACTCCCAGGGAATAATCAACTGGCCTGATCACATCTCCGACAAAGTTGTAGAGCAAATGGGGCTTGCAATTATCGAGGGCACAGAATGTGAGCAAGTGCTCCAGAACTACCGGCTCAATGTCTGGACAAAGGCCATAGCTTGTATATCAAAAATGGCCCCTCTAATTACGAGTGAGCCTTTAAGGAATCATTTCCGGTCACTCAAAAAGAGGTATGAAGCCGCTGCCATAGAGATTTTGAATCAAATTCCGCTGGCAGCTACTCCTAGCCTTCTTTTGCTTCAATCGGTTCTGTCCGCAGTATGTTTCTCTTATCTTTTTCGTGTGACTCCATATCTACTGACTCGTTTCTGACTCACGACAGACTCGTTTGATGCAATATTTAGGAAACACGACACAGTGTTGGATGTTGGCAGCACTAGCCTCGAGGATGCTGGTTTCCTTGAACTACCACAATATCACCGATACCAATCCTCAAACCGAGATGGAGGAAAACATTCATGCCTGTGTGTACACATGCTATTATTTTGATAAAACCCTCAGCCTGCTGCTCCTCCGACCACCTTCTCTGCCGGATCTGAAAGTTAGACCAACGCAGTTAATTCACCTCGATCCTGATCTGCCGACATCTACCATGTTAAAAAGCATAGTCGAGTATTCTGAGTTGAAGAGTGTTTTACTGAACATCTTGCTTGATACTAAGACAATAGGAGACACGGAGAAGGCCAATATACTGTCCGATCTTGTAGCACGGGCACACAAGATCCAATCCAATATGCAAGTGGTAAGAGGACAAGAATATAAACCTCTCCAGTAAATGACTGCTAATTAAATTTCCAGTTCAGCCGTCGCCAAAAACAGCAATTCCCGCAATCATGGAGCCGTCTGCGGCGTGAGTGGCTATCAATGGACTTTAATTACTACTCTAGTCTCACGACAATCATCCAAGCCCGGTCCTCAGTACTCAAGTCCCGCTTGTTCTATGAGGACTGTCTATACACAGCCCGGGAAGCCCTCACCACTCTCCGAGCTTTACAGGAAGGATTCTCAAAACACATCAATTCTATCGACTCATATCCTACTTTTCTTACCTGGTATGATATAGCCATCTCAAAGCCCTCTCAATATCTTGCGCAGTCGAAACTGATGACCCTTTAAACAGGACAATGCTACTATTCCCGCTAGCACCGTTCTTTGTCCTGTTTTGCAATGTGATCGCAACATCAGACGAGAGAGATTTCAATATGATCAAGAATATCACCGACGACCTACATCAATTCGCAGAGGCGAATGTCTCGATCGGCAAGCTGTACAAGCTATTCTCGAAATTCCTAGACCTATGTGCGCCTTTGGTGAAAGGAAAACTTGAAATTTCCTGTTCAGAACAGGCAGCAGCTGGGCCCGCTGATACAAACGCGGCTGGAAATATCGAGGGTCAGATTTCATCCTGCACAGAAATTTTTGACCATGCGGACGATCAGGCTTTGGGCAGTCTTCGGGATACAGATCCTGCTGAAAATCCCACTGCACCACCATCTATGGAGGGATGGGATGACAATCTTGTGTGGGAACTTTTCGATAACCAGCCCTCGTTGGGGTGGGCGGAGTCAGAACTATGGAATGTGATGGCGCAGTTCGATGCATGAAATAAATAGAATGTCAATACTCGCTTCGAGAGGTTTCTAGAAGTGGTTCATGGTTATCCCATGATCTCGTTTGATTGGATTCGGATAGTACATAAGGTGTATTTACGCAGGTGAGTCTTAAGTACACAGTCCCAAGCAACAAAGAGTAAGGGCAAACAAGAAAATGAAAAGAAGGACAAAGAGCGTGATGGTTTCGACATCTCAGAGTCTAGCTAGAAAGTAAAAGGAAATGGAAATGCTCAGCGAGTGTGGACATGCAGAAGGGCCATGATCTGTCGAAAACACACGGGCCAGGTATTATATTACAGTATGAAGGGGGAAAGGGTGGGTCTCATGTCTATCAGGAAATCAAGACCCAAAGAAGGAAGAAAATCTATCACAATCATTAGTTAGATACCTAGGCAAGAATTTCAAAATCGGTGGACATACCATCAGAATACCAAACATTTTGGCAATTAGCCAGCGATTTCCAGACACGCGCGTCCAATACTTCATTAGTTCTCTCTGTGCCCCCTCAACGTTGTCGACCACATCTTCGGTATTGGCATCTATGCGCTGAATCATTTCTGACTGCTCGCTAACCATCTGCGCCAGCTGACCAAAAATGCCACCCAATTCGCTAATGGTTCGCTCAATGGCTTCAATAGCTTCGCCTCGAGCTTGAACATATGTGTTACTCGATTCTCCTTCTTCCATTACCATCAGTTGTTGGTCTGATTGGAATGAGGGACGTCCTAAGGGCGAAGGGTTTGAAGGCTCGAGTGTCAAAAGGTCGGAGGAGTTGCCTTGATATCCGGGCTGAGGAGTCCGTCGTCCCGAGGTGTTATACAAAGGCGAGTCTGAGCGCTGAACATCGAGGACGCTGTGTGATTTGGAAGATACCGAGGAAACGAAGTTCTCGGTTCGTGTTCGGGAGGCTTGAATATTCTTGGTTCGGACTTCAAGCACCTCTTTGAAGCTAGCACCTACATCGGCCAGCTTTCCCTGCAGCATAACAACAACCTGAAATCGGTAATCAGCGACTTGTCCGTGCGCGCGTTGTTTCATGTTTCACTCACATTGTCATTGTGTTCTCCTTCCTGATCTGTCTTCGAGCGATTGAATTTAGGGTGTTGCGCCTGGGTGAGTGCCTGCAGCCCGGCGATGCTTTGGTTCAGGGCGGCAAGGTCTTGCTTAATTACGTATGTCAATTCGGAAATTTCGACAGGTCGGTCATCGAAGAGTGTTTTCCGTTTCGCCACTATTTCCTTGTTAGATTGCTGGCATTTTGAGCAATGTGAGCAGACTCACATTCAGCCAATCGCTGCAATTTTGCCATTGTTCCAGTGATCCCCCTTCCGATATCACGCGCCCGTCGCGCGAACTCTGATCTTGCCGCCTTCGCCTCCTGTGCGGCACCCTGGGGTGATGCATTGCCTTGCCGCCTTTGCGCATCAGTCAACAGTGCCTGGCGCTGTGAACCAACTTTTGATGTTCCCAAGCGCCTCTGGGCCTGGCCCAAGATAGCACTGAACTCGCTGGTCCGATCTTGTATCGACGGGCCGGTCATTTTGCGATATGGAAGGATGGATGTGAAGGAGGCTTGGAAACAAACGAGTAGCTATAGTCTTTCAGCCAGTGTTGAGAAGGATGATGTAAACTAAGGTCGACAAAGAGGGCCGAATTCGGTCTTGAAACGGAAGTGTGATCTATCTGCAATCGATAAGGGGCGAGATGAAGACGTGTCCGGTTGCAGCTAGCTCCGAGGCTTCAACGTCGTGGCTTGCAATAAATCAAGCAAAACAGACAGAATATACTCCGTACACTTCAAGATGGAAAAGATCAAGGTCAACTTGTCTACGCAATTAGCCCCGTTGGTCCACGTTACTGAATCGGAAACGTGTTACATAATCCCCGCACCGCCACCTAATTTTAGCCCAGGCCCATTTACCTCGATAGATCAGGGGATCCCCAGGGATATAGCTCGTTTCATTCTAATATTCGTCTTTATTTTTTTTTCTCTTTGATATAGCTGGCTTGATATTCTTGTATTCTTCTGTGGATACACGTCATTCTTGTACACTAAATCTTGCTGCCTCCAATTATCCTCAAACTCCATTTGATCGGTGCCTTGCCCAACTTGGGCCAAATTGCCACCCTCGTCCTCCCCATATACACTATCATTTAAGGGAACAGGTGCTGTTCACCTTCTTACTTAACTCTTACAACTTGCACTTGCTCTTCTACAAATCTATCGGAGATCACCAAGCAGCAGCTGATGCTGGTAATCGAGTGCGGCTCGAACCGTTGATTCTGCTCCCCTGATGGCAGACCCCGCCCAATCGCATGGTCGCGGAGCCCAGAACTTGTAAGACTATCTATTCAAATTCAGTTACGTATCACACACCTAGTCACACGGAAACTAAGACCTGCTCTAGCCCTTCCGCGCAAAATGTTCGCAGCCCACTTTCGCCAGGCAGCGGTAGTGGTAGCGGAACCCCGATCTCATTCCAAACAAACGTGAACCGATCCAAAACAAAACGTTGGGTGGAAGCGAAGAAATATACTTATGATGGAGGTGACTGGGGTAGCGACGATGACGACGAAGAGGAGGAGGAGGCGCCGCCTCCCGCGGTACCTCGGCCTCCCTATGCCACCCACAACACTGGCAGTTCGTCCGAGTTGTCCTCGAGGCGTTTGTCCGGCATCGGATTCGGAGCTGGTGAGTCGCATTTGGCTGATGGCAAGAGTAGGAGCTTTAGTGGAGGAGACCAGAAGCCCCTTCCCTTTGTAAGGCCGGCCGACCTCTATAAACGCATGCGCGAGGAGAAAACGGCTCAGCAGCCTCCTATCACTGGTAGCAATGACCCCAAGCCTGATGAGTTTGGAGCTGCGCCCGACACAAGTCAAGAGAGCCCTGCTTTAGGTCTACCGGAAGTCAGGCGCATGTCTGGCTTTGGTACTGATTTCTTGGATGGTGCAGACGCCAACCTGCCAAAGGATAGCTCTACATCTCAGGAGGCCACTTTGCATCACAACCCCTCGGCGGGATTCCGATCGGTAGTGAATCAGGCCTTTGATGTTCCAGAAACTCCACAATCCACTACCACTAGTGTCGCGCGGACGAACAGTGATACCACTTCGACGATCAGCCCTATCATCGGCGGTCGTACTCTGACTGATGAAAGAACACCAACCATTATCGAAGAGCCTCATGAGTCGGGCTCTCCGAAGGCAACTGCGACTGCGGTTCCAGCATTTAACCCTGGTCATCGCCGGGACCTGAGCCTTCCTAGTTCAGACAACAGCCCTTCGAGAAAACCTCAAGTCACAGACCTGGACACCCCAACGGCAGGCCATGCAGAACTGTCCTCCATTCCTCCACTGCAGAATTTCTCGCCAGAATCACCTGATACGGGAATCTCTCCTCAGAACCCATCGATGCAACCTTACTCGAACAATGGGCATGATATGCCTGCCCCTCTCAAATTTGGAAGCGCATCGGGCCCTGAGACCTTCCATCCCGAAATCCCAACTATCATGGGAGCTGAAGAATCACCGCAGAATACTGATAATGATCGCTTGAGGGAAGAGATTATTCGATCGTTAAGTCGGGAAGCCACCCCCTCGGAGGACCCGGAGCCCAGCAACCAAACTCAGCCGCAGGCACCTGCTGAGTCCATCTCACGCCAGTATGAGAAATATTGGGATGATCAGAGTGGGCTTGGTCCGAATGAAGATCCCAGGGCTATGGTTTCTGAAAGCCACCCGGACTTGACTATCCCACCTCCTCTGCCGTCTAGAGACCCCTATGCGAACAGCCAAGGCGCAACCGGTACAAATTCATCTATCCCGCCTCCTTTGCCGTCCAGAGACCCATATGCGAACAGTCAAGGCGTGACTGGTAACCCTTCATCTACGATGGTTGATCAGCCAAAGAAGCCTAAGTTAGAGAGACGGTTCTCATGGGAATCCTCCGACGAAGAACCAGAGCCGCCTCAAATTCCCGGCAGCTATTCATCGCCTGCTTTGGCCACATCGTTGTCCACGCAAGAGCCTGAGCCCACTCAACTGCCTGGCAGCTATGTATCGCCCTCTACGCAAGAGCCTGAGCCTACACAGGTGGAGACCCCATTGGTCTCAGAGGTGTCGCGCGACAAGCTCACTTCTGATGATGAAGGGTCCGATACCCAGAATGCTGCGGCAAAGCCTCGACTTTCGATTGTTCCACCTATTCCGGAGAACACTACACCTCCGGAGCAAGTTATGGGACCAGGAACTACGCCACCTCCACCTCCGCAAATCCCGCCACGCCAAGTCTCTAATGCCGGCAGATCATCCGTCGATGAGTCTCAACTTTTGGGTTTCCGTGACATTCTCGGGATCACATCTATCAACCAGCGTATCAAGTCTTTCGAACAAACCCGTGACCAGTTCGCCACCATTGACACTGGTTTGAATCATTGGCTGCAATTCACAGTTCATGAGCACCCCGAACATGCCGGCGTTGTCCAACAGACCCAGAGTTTGTCCCCTACCGCGCCACCATCAGATCATTCCCGCAGTAGGTTCCCTAAGTTGGGTGCTCTGGGGAGTCTCGGCTCCTTAAACGACGGTACTCCGATTGGCGGTGCTCATATGAGACGCCCGTCGGCCCATCTGGGTACTGTGATGAACAAGGAGAAAGTCGGGGAGAAAGGAAAGGAGTTCCTCCATACTGCGGGAGCGTTTAGTGGGAAGGCAACTGGGGCTGCCAAGGGATTCTTTGCCAAGGGCAAAAGCAGGTTCCGACCCGGTGCAGGGTCTGAGAAGGTAGATGCCTGATTTTTTTTCCTTCTGAGCGAGTTGTTTACTTGGGGAAGCACGGTGGAGGCCGTTGCTTTAATTTTTCCCTTTTAATTACGCTGCATTTCTTCATTTTCTGGATACCACGATGTAATTCCGAGCACTATTGAGCTCTAGAATGCGACACGATTGATGCATCCGCCGTTTTTCTACAATCTAACCCCATCCTTATTTGTTTATATTCTAATGTTAGTAATACTGTAGGTTCAGTCAGCCCCAAATGCTTCTCGCCGCAGCTTTCAGCTCTCCTTCCCTTCAGGGTCGGGCGAAGCATCTGGTAACTCTTCTCTACGCAACTCTGTCACGCTTGGCAGTCTGCCCATCTTCAGATCCGAGCGATCCGGGCTCCACTCTGATCCTGATCCTGATCCACAGGGGGTCAGTTTCTGTTTAGATCGCCAGGATGAAGCCGCCAAAGATGCCAAGGCGACCAACTCGGGGGATAACTACATGTCGCACAACCCTGTTGGCGGAACAACTGTGCAACCGAAGCAACCGCCATCTTCCAACGATGTCACTCATAAGCCTGAAGTTCCCCAAAAGCCCGCCTTTGCTGGAGATTTCGAGCAAGAGATGATATCTGCGCTTGGTCTTTCGCCTATGGATTCTCATCATCGGAGGTCGGCAAGTACCCCGATGGCGTTGAATGCATCTAGCCAGGTAAATGGCGGGAAACGGCAATTCACAGAGCCCCTGCCGCAACAGGGAGGAAGCACCACTGGCAATAAATCCGAAGCTGGAGCACCGGCGAACAAAGTCCCAGTCGCAAAAAAGAGTCTGCCAGTCATTCCTGATGAGCCCTTCCATGTCCATTTTCCGGTTGTGATCAGCCCGACGCATCAGCCAACCAAGTCTACACCGGAGATTATTACTCCGTCAATCCGGCCAGTGTTGAATGAAAGCCCTAAGCCGCCTTCGCCTCCTCCGAAGGATCATGATAATGGGCTTGCACCTACCCACGATCATAGGCGCCAGTTTTCTGTCTCAACACTTGGAGCTGATGAGCAACCTGGACGTGCATCTGATGAGGAACTTGACAGGGAACCGCCTTCTCCTTTGCAAGCGACAGCAAATGAGGTAGTACCAAAACATCAAAGTAAGGCTGAGGATTCTGTTGATAAGGCCTCTAGTGGCCCTCCATCATCTTCTCAACAGAAGAGAAGGTCCTTCGTACCTTTCTATCCGTCAGAGTTCAAAAACTCTGCTGATGTCCTCGAGTCCAAAAGAAGATCGATCAGTGGCTTACCTCCATCTGCTCCAGAAGTACAAAGCCCCTTGAGAAATGAAGTCAGATACTCGCCAGGAACCCGAAGCAGTATGCTGAGCTTTGGTAGCTTTGGAAAGCAGAGCGCTAGCGGCAAAGGGACTCGTCCATCCACGCCTGCCAATGGTATTTCACAACCTTCGGAATCTGGATCTCCTGCAGAGAGTGGGCAGTCTACTGTTGAAAAACTGAAAGATTTCGGGAGACGACGGCGCGCTTCGGTGGGAGATCTCCTCTCTGGTATTCAACCCCAAGGGCCTCAGGAGCCTCAGGGGCCCCCGGCAAGCCCGCGCAGACGAACATTCAGCAGGATTAGCGTATGTCGACCCTGGATGGTTTTTTTTTATTTCTTTTTTTTTCTAACTTGAACAGGGACTATTTGGCCGGCAAGCCTCTCAAGATCCTGAGATAAAATCGACCATCCACAAAAGGACTGCCTCAGAACAGTTACAGAAGCAATATCCGCCGACACCCCCGTCGAAAAATGCAAATGTAAATATTAGTTCCGCTATACATGATGAACCACCGGTCCTCGGCAATCCGTTTGAACAAAAGCCTTTGCCAACTCGGCCCCCCGCGCCGACGGCACCTCCACCACCACCACCGAGCGACACAAGACCTCAACCCCGTGATACTCGTCAACGTACCAGTATATCACTTCCAACCAGTTCTTCATCCAGCTCCCTGACAGCTGGTCGGTTCTACTCGCAGTTCCAGTCCGGATCCGCGAGTGAAACCCCCACGAGCTCTCGCCATGGTAGCACGCTCAGCCAGCCTCCCCCAGGTCATTCTCGGTCACCGTCTCCCATGTCACTCCACGAGAATAAAGCTGCCGCTCCGTTGTCATCGCTAGAGAAGCTAGAAAGTCACCAGATACATCAACTACAGAAAGAGGAGCAGCAAAAGCAAGAAACTCAGCAAGGCACTTTGAGTGAGAACCAGGAGAAGGAGAAACATGAGGAACACAAGGACCGCGTGGTTGGAGACAGCCTTCGACACGAACTATATGGGGAGATATCCGAGGCTCCGACAAACCAGCAGAACCATCCAGATCAACAACACGAATTAGAAGGCAGTCTCAAACAACAAAGTCTCGCTCCTCAACTCAGCATTCGATCCCGAAAACCAGTGGGTTCAAACCCGGCATTCGCAGCCTTCGAGAACAACGCACCACGCAACATCGCCGTCTCAAGCGCCTCCGCGATATCCACGCATCCTCACCGCAGTGAGGACAAGACCCGTGTAGTCAATGACACACCTCAGCCAGTAGAACTTGCCATCACCGCGGACGACTCCAGCGAGGAGATCGTCATGTCCCCCACGTCCTACCCTGGACAGGAGTGGACCCCCATGCACTTGTAGCATGTTTTATTAGAGCGCTTATGATACCCACTGTCCCTTTCGCGGTGTTCTTTCGATACCCTGAGTTGTATTTGTATACTTTTTTGCTTTGCTACATATGTGTGTACCCTTCAAATATTCTCCTTTTATCTTCTCATAGACATCTATCTCTCTTATCTTTTGCTATCTAATAATTACATGGTCATCATGCCATACTGGTCTCTATCTCTACCATACCAATATCCAGGTCTGTACTTTATATATCTGATTGCGCTGACCAATCAAGTTTTGATACTAAGCATACGTAGTTTGTGATACCCTACAACTCCTACCATTAGTTCCACAAATCCCAGTTGCAGAGCGGAGCCGGATATTCGGGTTTTTAGTAGATACCAAGTCCACTAGTAATAAGTCCACTCAGTGCCCAGGTGGAAGAGATAACGAATTCCCCGCATTTACGAGGATATAAGGCCATACAACTCCAACACTCTAATTCCATTTCACTTAACTACATTCAAGATGAACCCCAACGAGCCCCCAATTATAGATTTTGCCCGTAAGAACCAGTATCCTATACTCCAAGAACTATGTACCTAACCCCGCAACAGCCTTCTACAAAGATTCAACCAAAGAAGACCTCATCAACCAAGTCAAACAAGCATGTGAAACATTCGGCTTCTTCCAACTAATCAACCATGCCATCCCAACCGATCTCCAAGACGCAGTTCTCCAACACTCAAAAGAACTCTTCGACCTCCCTTTGGAAACAAAAGAGAAATACAACATAGGTAACACAGCCCACTCTCCCCTCTCCTCGCCTTTCTCGCCTGATCTATAAAAAAATAAACCGAACTAATTCCCAAAGCAACCGACGGCTTCAACCGCGGCTACGAGCGCCTCCGCTCGCAAAACTTCGAAAAACGCACAAAAGGCGACCTAAAAGAAGGCTTCTACCTGGGAAAAGACCTCCCCCTCGACGATGAATACGTAATTCAGCGCCGCTTCGGCCAAGGTCCAAATAAGTATCCCGCCGAAGTCCCGGACGCTGAAGACTTCCGCCGCATCATGGACGAATACCACGACGCCATGATCGGGCTTTCTGTATCCATTATGCAAGTTCTAGCGCGCACGCTCGGTCTAGGGGATGATACATTTGGTGATTTCTGCGATCATCCAGTATCCATTCTGAGATTGCTTCATTACCCGCCGCAGGAGGTTGATACGTCTGATGTTGAGAGAGGTGCGGAGACTTTTTCTGATGAATGTATCAACGTGAACTAACAAGGCGGTAGGAATCGGCGCACACACCGATTTCGGCGCTATCACTATGCTCCTGCAGGATGATACGGGCGGATTGCAGGTGTGGAATAACGTCTCGTCCGAATGGGTCGATGTGACTCCTGTTCCCGGGGCTTATGTTGTTAACCTGGGGAATATGATGATGCGCTGGACGAATAATCGGTACTTGTCGAATCTGCATCGGGTTATTAATACCAGTGGCAAAGAGCGGTTCAGTGTTCCGTTCTTCTTCTCTGGGAATCCGAACTATACCATCCGGTGTCTTCCTGGCTGTGAAGATCCAGAGGGAGCCAAATACCCCCCGATTACGGTGCATGAGTGGATGGCAGGACGGTATGCAGATACTTATGGGACTTCAGAGGGGAAGGCTATTGGGGAGATGCGGGAGGAGCCTAAGAATGTGAAATAGCAGTTTCTCTGCAGGTATAAGCGAAGCAGTGTTTTATACGAATACTCGTATAATGCAGTCTAGTCTAGTCCAGCCAACCTCAATTCCTCCCCTGAACAGCACTCCAATCAACCCACCTCGTATCCCCAAATACCTTCTGCGGCGTACTAAACTTCTCCCACTCCCTAGGACCAAGCACATCCGTAACACCGCCCTCAATGCGAGCCGTCTCATTGACACCAGGCCCGTAAACCCGATACTCCGCCATAAGCGTAACACCCCTCTCGTACCTCGGCACGCCGCTAACAATCCAATCAACATACCCCTGCGGCTTGATGCTGCCGTCCTCGTACGAGCGCGCAAAGATAGACCGGTGCTGGCTGTTCCACGGCCGGCCGAGGGCACACTTGCCCTTGATATCCGGTGCGATGGAGGAGTTCGCGGCGCGCACGTCCGAGTCCACGATGTACACGCCGTATTTGTTGGGGGTGGTGGTGTTCGTGCCTTTCCAGGCGGTTATGCCGCCGCCGCAGCCGCGCAGCTGGATGGCGCTCGATTGGATCCAGGCTGTGCCGAAGCCGTAGAGGAAGTCCGTTTGGCCGGCGATTATGCTGGAGTAGAAGTAGGCGTTGCCGAGTTTGCCGATGTAGATCTGGGAGGTGTGTTAGTGTTTGTTGGGTGGTTGGGGGTAGGAATGATCATTGAGAGACCGGATGCAAGCATGAAGAAAAGAACATACCGTATCCTGATACGAATAAAACCCGCAATAATAGAATCCGCCATTAGCACGACTCAAACTAAGTGCATGCGCCGGCCCATCCGAGTAATCCGCCCAGGTATTCACAAAATCAACATTATAAACCCTGAAATCGCGATTTCCAAACGGCGTATCCTCCGGCACCGGCCAGCCCGTCGTCCCAGACCCCGTAAGACTCGACTCGAGCGTCGGCGCTACAACCATAACGCTGGAGTAGACATTATCGAAGTTTCCAGTGCTGTCCCTATTCCCAGCCTTCCAGGTAATGGTAACACGGTTCTTGGTAGCATCTTTGGAATTGCTTGTTTGGCCGAGGATGGTAATTGGGCCCGCACGGGTGACGTTGACTTGCTCTGTGTAGACGCCTTCTAGGATGAGGATTGTTTGCGGGGAGGCGTCGTGGGGGAGCGAGTTTATGGCGGACTGGAGGGTTTTGTGCGAGGCTTTTTTGGAGTTGGAGCCCACGATCAAGGTTCCTGGGGGGCAGTGGGTGCCGGTTGATTGGCAGGTCTGGCGGGAGACGTGTTGGATGGCGCTTGTGTTTGCTCCCAGGGTGTAGAGGAGGAGACCCAGGAGGGAAGGGAGGAGGTAGGGGAGCATTTTGCTTGTTGGGTGAGTTGCTCAATTGCTCACTTGCTCACTTTTGATGGGCAGATCTGGAGTGAGTGATTTGCTCACTTTGATGGCCAGATCTGTAGTGATTTGCTCACTTCTGATGTCTATTGTGTATTTACTACTCTTTTATAGGGCATTGGAAGAGGATGTATAGAATCCACCCGCTACGACATAGACGGAAAATTAGGAGATTGAACGAGTAGATCGTGCCAAGATAGGTGGAAGTCCGGGGTGAAAAGCAGATAATTGAGTGGCATTGGGATATTTTCTCTATACTTCGTGGGGAAGAGGTCTCACGGCTAAAGCTTGTGCCCACGATGGGGGAATTAATCCGGGGAAAAGTATGGGGACGGAGAATTGGCTTCCACCTGTGAGCGTTGGGACTTGGGGGAAGGGGTATGGAGATGTAGATCGGGTGGCAGGGGTAGGAATACGAGGGAAGAAGACAGGGAGCAAGACTAGAGTGTGGCAATGTTACGAAGTACGAAGAACAAAGTACAGGTTATTTTACAAAAGACATGAAATGATTAGAATCCCTTAGATTGACTAAGTACCACTATTAACGACATACATACACGTAGAGAAGAAAAACATGACTCTAGCAACTCGAAAGCACACCACAGCCAAGGGGGTAAATGAAACACACAAAGTCTATAATACGGGTAAAAAGGAAGCAAAAAAAAAGACGGAAGACGACTTTTTTTCACTTCCACGGCATGCATGTTCAAGTAGGTGGCACGGCAAAATTTGCGGGTAATCGCAAGGGAGATGGAAAGAAATTAAGACCTCGAATCAGTAACGAGTCGCAAAATAAGTCAAGCAACGAGCATTTACTCCTCGTCCTCGATCTCCTCGGCGCGGGCACCGAGGGTGTAACGAGTCTTGCCTTCCGAGTCGTGCTCCATTTCGATGGCGAGCTTGGAAAGGTGAGCGATCATGTTCTCGATCTTGGTATCGGCCTTGGAGCGGGTCTTGCGGCCAAGGTTGTCGAGACCAGGGAGGATGGTCAGGAGGTAGTACACAACGGCGATGATGACAGTCACACCGATAGAGTAGGCCCAGATGACAACGACGGTGACAATGTCGACATCGTTGTTCTTGGAGAAGTTGGGACCACCGGGGGTAGGGGGGAGGTCTGCTTCCAGTCGGGTGCGAGCCAGCCGAAGACACAGAAGAGGGTGGCGAGGACATCGACGACGAAGATGGCAATGACCAACTGCCACGAGGGCCAGGTCTTTCCACCACGGGTAACGAAGATGAGCCAGTTCTCAGTCAGAGCAATCTCGAGGAAGAGAATCTCCTGGGGAGAACCGAAGTTCTGGATGATACCACCGTTCTCAAGGAAGAGAGTTCCACGGATGATCCAGGTACCGGCAGCGAGGAGGACTCCGAGAACGACGGAGATAACCCAGATCTTGGGCAACTGCCACTCGACGGGGCGGGCTTCGAAGTGAGCGTTATCGTAGGCAACGGCGATGGTGGCAAGATCAGCGAACAGAGCGATGAAGACAATCAGGGAAGAGTCGACAGTCTCGTTGATGATAATCATAGAGGTAACCAGGTAGATCTCGAGGTGGAGACACAGGGCAATACGGTACTGAATGTAAGCCTTCATACGCTGGAAAATCTGGCGAGCAAGCTTGATAGCATCGACGATGGTGGAGAGACCGGGGGCGAGGAAGACAATATCGGCGGCAGCCTGGGCAGCCTCAGTGGAACCCTCGACAGCGATACCACAATCGGCCTTCTTGAGGGAAGGAGCATCGTTAACACCGTCACCAGTCATGGCAGTCAAGTGACCACGCTGCTGGAGCATCTCGACGACCTGGTACTTGTGCTCGGGGAAGACCTCAGCGAAACCATCAGCCTTCTCGACAAGGTCGTGCTGGGCGGAACCAGCGAGACCACCGTGGATCAGACGCTCAGAGTTGTAAACCTTGGTACCGAGAGCAAGCATCTTGCAAGTCTCCTTAGCGATAGCGATAGCGTCACCAGTAAGCATCTTGACGGAGAGACCGAGAATCTGGGCCTCGCGAATAGTGTGGGCGGTATCCTCACGGGGGGGATCGAACATGGGGTACATGCCCAGAAGCTGCCAGGGCTCACCCTCCTTCTGGACGGCGACACCAAGAGAACGGAAACCACGGCGAGCGAACTCAGTGACCTTCTCACGGTAGAGCTTGCCTTCCTCGGGGGAGCAGGAAGACATGTTGAGGATAGCCTTGGGGGCACCCTTGGCACAGATGTAACGGACACCATCGCAGGTACAGACAGTGGTGATACGCTTGGAGACGGGATCGAAGGGAGTGTACTTCTCGGTAATCCAGTTGCGGGAGAGGATCTCACGGGCCTTGGGGTAACGACGGAGAGTCAGGACGGTAACCTTATCGATGGGGTCGAGGTTCTTGATGTTGTGGGAAGAGGCAATAGCAGCGACGGCCATCATCCAGTTGACATCAACACCCTCAGCGACGTAGGGCTCACGGATGGAGAGCTGGTTGGCAGTGAGAGTACCGGTCTTATCGGAGCAAAGAATATCGACACCGGCGAGGGACTCGATGGCAGTGAGCTTCTGGACAATAGCCTTCTGCTCGGCGAGGTAGGCGGCACCGACGGCGAGGGTGGTGGTGGTGACAACGGGGAGACCGACGGGGACACCGATGATCAGGAGAATCAGGGTGTAGTGGAGCAGGTTGTTGTCGTCGTCCTCGGGGGTAGCGATCTTCAAGTGACGGAAGAAACCACCAATCCAGGCAGCGAGAATCCAGAACATGACGAGAACGAGCAGGGAGGTACCGATGTTGTCCATGACGGCCTTGAAGTGACCAGAGTCCTGGGCACCCTGAACAAGGGCGGCGGTCTTACCGACGAAGGAGTGACGAGCAGTGGCAGTGACAATACCGTAGGCCTTGCCACGCTTGCAACCGGTGGTGTAGTAACAGACATCAGCCATGTACTTGTCGACAGCGAGAGATTCACCAGTGATAGCGGACTGATCACAAGCAATGAGGGACACACCCTGGTGGGTCTCAATATCATCGTCGTCATCATCACCGTGCTTCTCCTTGAGGTCGTCGGAGGTGGCGTTGGCGAGGTACTCCTTGTAGGTCTCGAACATCTCGGGCTTGGTGTAGTCACAGATCAGGCGGACATCGGCAGGGATAACGGTACCCTCCTCGACGATAACAATATCACCAGCAACGAGCTCACGAGCGAGGATCTCCTCCTCCTGGCCGTTACGGACAACGATAGCACGCATAGCGATATCACCCTTGAGAGAAGCCACGACATCGGCAGCCTGCTTCTCCTGGTACCAACCGACGAGAGCGTTGAGCAAAAGAATACCACAGATAACACCAAGATCGATCCAGTCACGCAGACCGGCAGCGAGGAGGACAGCAAGTTCCATAACTGGAGAGAAGCAGAAGAAATCGCGTTAGTCAAAGGCAATTGGCATTTCAAAAGACGCGTCATTTTTTTAAAAAAAAAAATTAAAAAAAAAAGACGGCAATTATCCCAAAGCCTACTTACCATAGAGAATAGGACCACGGAAATAACCAATGAACTGAATGAAGATGTTGGTCTTCTCAGTAACCAGCTCGTTCCAGCCGGTCTTCTTGCGACGAGGCTCAATGTCGCTGGAGCTGAGACCAGAGCGGAGGTCGGTCTCGAGCCACTCATCGGGGGTAACGAAACCATCGGTGACACCATCACTCTTGCCTCCAAACTTCCACCAGGGCCTCTTCTTCTCACCCCCAGAGCTCAGAGCACCAGCGCTCGAGGTGGAACCACGACGGTTGTCGCGGGCAGTCGAGATGTATCGGTTCAGCGCAGAGTACTCGTCGAGGTTACCATCTTCACCAGCGTCACGGGTGTGACGCTCACCGTTTTCGACGTCAACAGCATAGGAAATTCTCCGCTCCGCCATTGTTGTTGCTTCGGCTCACACAGCCTTGGAACCCAACGATATGAGTAAAGACAACGGAATGACGATATGACAGAGTCGGAACAGATCCTATGTAAAGAGAGAGAAGGAGAAAAACCAGACGGACGAAGGAAGGTCTGTTTTATAATGGATTACGGGGGGGTCAAAAAAGAAGGGAACCGGAGTGGGTAGGTGGATAATGAGGGAAATAAAAAAGAAAAATTGAGAAATTGTAAATTGTAAAAAAATTGTAAAATGGGAATTAAAGAAAATTGAGAAATTGAGAAATTGAAATTCCAAAAAGAAAATCCCGTGTCTTTTTTTTTTTTTTCAGGGAAATACTTCTGAAAATGGTTGCTGGGGGATGTATAAACCAGGTACTTTGTGACCCGCTGAATGATTCTTTTCGGCTTATTTTGACTTTTTTGGTATTTTTCAATGTTTTTATTTCTTCCTATTTCCATTTTTTATTTCCCTTTACAGGTTAGTCTACTGTAATTTCTGGGTTGATACCAGATTTTGCCCCTTGCCCTACCAAGAAAGCTCCAACTGGATCCCCCCTTGTAACCAATCATAGACAAGGCACAGTACTCTGAGTGGGGTCTATACCTGCATTCAGATTAGCATCAAAACAAAAAAAAAAAAAAAAAAAAACCGATACCACACTCCTTTGAAAGGTCTCTGCTACCGGCACTGGGCTGCCGAGTTGGCCTCCACAGACATCACGTATGAATTTTACCTACACCAGTTTTGCCTTGGCCGATATGCCCTAGTTCTAACTATGCGCGATTTTTTTGTCTGGGGTTTTGTTCCTTACTGTTTTCCCCGAGAAATAAAAAAAATTGGGAATTGGCAATTGGGAGGTTTTGCAGTTCCGATTTACAGTTAGCTGATTAACGGAGAATTCGCGGAGACTGGAATGTCCTTGCAGGAGAATGTTCCTATATTGAGCGACATGGTCCGAGATGGTTGATATGGGGGGTACGCTTTCATTTTAAAGAGATAGGGCTAAACGTATATACTTCTTTACATCCAAGTCCGGCTTTCACACAAAGTGAAA